CTGAAATATAGGGCAGGAAATATCGATTCTGACTGAAGAGATTCAGGATGTAGAAAGATATTCTAGGCAGAGGGGACAGCTGTCACGGTGGCAGGAAAGAATTCAGTAAATGGTGGCTAGTACTGCTTTTCCAAGAAAACTAGTCTTAACTGAGAAAAGGGGACAAATGTCTCCATGTTATATTTACTCATTGCAGACTTTTTTTTTTTTTTTTTTTTTGGAGACAGGGTCGGCTCTGTCGCCCAGGCTGGAGTGCAGCGGCGTGATCTCTGGCTCACTGCAACCTCTGCCTCCCGGGTTCAAACGATTCTCCTGCTTCAGCCTCCGTAGCAGCTGGGATTACAGGTGTGCGTCACCACGCCCGACAAATTTTTGTAATTTAGTAGAGACGGGGTTTCACCATGTTGGCCAGGCTGGCCTGCCTCAGCCTCCCAAAAGTGCTGGGATTACAGGCGTGCGCCACTGCCTGCAGCCCTGTTGCAGATTATTATACTCATTCTTTGGCAAACAGTTACTGCTTACTCAGATATCCGTGACAATGTTCCCTGGATTTGTGTGACTGACTATACCCAACACTAAGACACCAAACCTAGTGGCCTCATTTCCTAATCATCCCTACATACCTAGGAAAGTATTAATAAGCTTTCCTGGAATTCGTCATTCCCTCATCTGTGCTTCACTGTACTTTGCTTATAATTCATATATGGCACATCAGAACACACCTTGCTGTAGAACTATGAGTCCATACTGATCTGATCACTAGAACAGTGGTTCCCTAAAGGTATAGTATTGGCCTTATAGAGCATTTTAGGATATGTGGAGGTTGTTCTTGATTGTCACAATGACTGGAAGGCATTACTGGCACTTAATGGACAGAAAACAGAGAATTCAGATGACCTGCAATGCTGAGACCGTACATCAAAACACTGTCTCCAGTGGGAGCCAGAGCTCTCAGTATGGAAGACAGGAGATACAAATATGGACTGGAGCAAGGCAAGAAGAATCCCATGGGGATGAACTTGGGATTGGTATGAATTCAATATTTGCAAAATATATATGGTATATGTACATGCATATGTGTACATGTATGTGTTTATGTGTATGTGCATTCATTTTTTTTTTCCAGAACTGTCCACTGAATGGGCCAAGAAGCAAAAATTTCACAATAGCAAAAGGACACCTAGCACCTAGATCTTGGTTTCTACTGCTATTGCTCACCAAAAGTAACCAGAGCTCCTTGGAGAAATGGTTGATTCCAGGGGTAGGCCAGGAAAGGTGCACAGTGAGCCTGAAACACCTTGTTATATGAGAGAAAGTAAGTTATCAAAAAAGAGGGGGTTAGGGGAAAATGGAAGCCAGCTTGAAAGGGCTTCTATCAGCCAAGTCTGCGATAATTAGACCATCAAAATAATTGAGGGTAATGAATCATTTAAAAAATTCACAAATTGATGATTTAAACATAATGCATGATAATAAACAGATAAATGAGAAAGAAATGAGAGAAAAGGAGCAGTTCTTCCTTATAGTAGAATACTGAGTGTTAGCTAGTAAATCTGGAGAAATTTTCAGAGTTGGAAAACCATTACTTTGCAACCATTATAGTAAAGATTGATTCAGGCTAAAGCCATGAATGGATGCTAAATCTAAGAGCAAACTTTTGATAAGCAACAGATATCTGCATTGTATTAAAGTGTCTCTTCAAAAATAGCCCATTAATCAGAAGGGAGAAAAACAGTAACTCTACAGTGAAGAAATCAGACACAGTTGACTAGGTGCAAAGTTGACATCACCAGTGAAGGCATAAGGTATCAGGTATGTCCACATGTGATACCCTGGCAGGAGCACAACATTACTGAGAGTATTCTGGCTGGGGAAGCATAACAATGAGAAAATAACAGAAAAATCAAAAAAAGAGGAATATTCTATTACAAAGAGATTGAATTTTTAAAAAATATATAGGACAATGTCATAAGAAACAAAGAAAGGATAAGGGACTATGATTCTAGACTGCATCCTGTACTGGATGAGGAAAAATGCTATGAGAGACATTATTGGGTCAATTTCCAAAATTGGGATATGAATAGTAAAGTATGATATTAATGTCAAAATTTCTCAAGTTGGTAACTGTGCTATGATTATACAATAGAATATCCTTGTCTCAGGTAATGTACATTGAAGTATTCAGGATAAAGAGCTATAATATATGAAACAAACTGCCAAATGATTAAAGAAAGTGTGTATACACGGGGAAGGAGGAGAGAGAAAGCAAAAACAAATGAATCAAAATGGTAACAACAGGTGAACATGAGTAAAAGTAGTGCTGTGGTTTAAATATTTGTCTCCTCTGAAACTCATGTTGAAATTTAATCCCCAGTGTAACAGTATTGAGAGGCCAGTGGATCATGAGGGCTCGCCCCTGATGAATGAATTAATCCATTCATGGACTAATGGGTTATCATGGAAGTGGACTGGTGGCTTTGTAAAAGGAAGAGAGACCTGAGCTACCATGCTCAGCCCCCTCTCCATGTGATGCCCTGAGCTACCTCAGGACTCTACAGAGTCCTCACCAGCAGGAAGGCTCTCACTAGATGCCACCCCTCAACGCTGGCCTTCTCAGCCTCTCTAACTGTAAGAAATAAATTCCTTTTCTTGATAAATGATCCAGTTTCAGGTATTCTCTTATAAACAACAGAAAACAAACTAGGACAGATATAGAGGAGTTCTTTGCAGTTTTTATAAGTTATTATTTTTATAAATTACTTCCCACTGGGCGCGGTGGCTCAAGTCTGTAATCCCAGCACTTTGGGAGGCTGAGGTGGGCGGATCACCTGATGCCAGGTGTTCAAGACCAGCCTGGCCAATAGGCAAAACCCTGTCTCTATTAAAAATGCAAAAATTAGCTGGGCATGGTGGCTTGCACCTGTAACCCAAGGTACTCAGTAGGTAGAGGCAGGAGAATCACTTGAACTCAGGAGGTGGAGGTTGCAGTGAGCCAAGATCATGTCACTGTACTCTAGCCTGGGCAACAGTGCAGACTCTCTCAACAATGACAATAACAACAAAATTATTTCCAAATTAAAAGATAAAGAAAATTTGCCATGCCATTTGTGACATAACAATTACACCAATTACACCACCAAAAACAACCCGTTTATAATTAATGGAACTAACTCCATTTTTCATATAAGCAAAGTTTTTTTTTATGGAAAATAAGGTGAATTTTCCATAAATGCAACTCTATATTGAAGGAAGACAGACCTTTGAATCAGTCAGAACTTTACCAAGAGTTGTTCATTCTATAAATAAAATTATGTCATTATGATACTGCCACTCCTGGTATTTGAATTCACCAGTATACCACATCTGTACCCATCTACTCTTCTTCCATGTCTACAATTATTCCACATTTATATGCAATATTTACTTGTTTCATTGTTTCTTGGTATAGTTTTGCCTAGACATTTGTTTACAAATTGAAATACATATTGTTTAAGTTACTCCCCTTTTGTTTCTCCTCTGTATCATGGCAAAGGAATCATACTGATTTTTTTTTTTTTTTTTTTTTGAGACCAAGTCTTGCTCTGTCGCCCAGGCTAGAGTGTAGTGGCACGATCTGGCTCACTGCAACCTCTGCCTCCCGGGTTCAAGCAATTCTCCTGCCTCAGCCTCCGGAGTGGCTGGGATTACAGGCGCCTGCCACTGTGCCCAGCTAATTTTTGTGTTTTTTAGTAGAGACAGGGTTTCACCATTTTGGCCAGGTTGGTCTTGACCTCCTGACCTTGTGATCCACCCGCCTCAGCCTCCCAAAGTGCGGGGGTTATAGGTGTGAGCCACCGTACCCGGTCATATACTGATTTTTAAAACAGTAAGTATAGATAGATTATATTAACTATGAATTCGGTTTCAAGATGGTAAAAGAAGAGACAAGAAGGCTACCCCAGGCCTCTTACAGAGAGAATCAGAATGTAAGTTTCTTATGGAGAAGCTACGATTACTTATCTTCAGATCTTCCCCAGCTCTGCTTTCGCTGGCCTGTGCACATACACCCATTTCAGAGCCACAACCAACTCTGCTTGTGCAATCACATCATCAGTAAAGAAAAGGATGAGATCTTTGAAAACCCCAATAAGGTACCATTACAGACAGCAATGTCTCCTGCACTTATGGGAAAAATCCATAAACACAGGGGACTTTATTCTTAACTGACATAAGCCCAAAAAACAGCAAAAGAAATCTGGGGGAATATATTAGATCAGCATAGGAATTGATCCAAAAATTACATCAGTCTCATAAAACTATCACCAATCTATTTACTTTATTAATGTTCCGATGATGTTATATATACCAAAGGGCAGGCAGTACCAAAAGTCTAAAGTATGTACATTTTTAAAAACTGCTCATTGAGTCAGTGATTTCTTTTGGGGCTTGGTACTTTACAAAAGACAGGCTGTTGTCTGTGTAATATGACATAGGGAACAGGAGAAAAGAAAGTATAATTACAAGCCCAAAGCCTGGGAAGATGTTAACCAACTATTTGCCTAAACAGCTTACATGAGATTGTAACTGCCTTCAAACCTGTCACCTGGTAATGAAATAAGAGTCAAAAAGGGCTCTGAAGACCACAAGAGGAGTTAAGAAAATAAAGAGATTGACAATAAGACAGGACGAAATATAAAATACGAAATTCTGTAAAACAGACAGGCTGCATGGAAACCATATGGTAAAAATGGACAAAAAACAAAAGAAAGGAACTGTTTACATTTCCTTTGAGGCAGCTCCTCAAATTCCTCCTCATGGAGGTGAAAATGAAATATTAGAAATGAACAGGATAAAAATGATTTTGCCATGTATAAAAGTCTAACTGTTTAAGACTTAAAACATACTTATCTGAATTGAATAATCATAAAAGCATAATTTCATATATACATTATATGAATAAATGATGGAAGACATACAGAGTGACCGAAAATGACACACATAATAGTCCAATAGGTACATACCAAGACAGTAATGTTCTTTTTCTCTTGCTTCCCATTTGTGGCTGTCTACATAGGCTGCAGAAAGCAGGCCTCTTTTACCTGAGAAAATAGACAATTATTTCGACACACATGGTTTTACAACAGATTCATTTTATATGTTTTATTAAATATATCTTTGCTATCCTTTCAACTACTAGATTATATATTTTAAAAAATCGAATACAGTACAGCAACCAATATTGCATAGTTGACAATTCAGTGAAGAACAAAATACATTCAATCCCTACCAAGTGGAAGATGCAGAAAAACTGATAATTTTCACAATAATTTTTTAAATAAACAGGGTCTTGCTATAGCCCAGGCTGAAATGCAGTAGCTATTCACAGGCACAATCCCACTACTGATCAGCCCAGGAATTCTGATATGCTCAGATTCCAACCTGGTTCACCCTTCCTGAAGCAACCTGGTAGTCCCCTGCTCCAGGGGTCAATCATCATATCAATGCCAAACTTAGTGTGGACACTTGATTGGTATCGTGCACTACAGCCCAGAACTCCTGGGTGATCCTCCTGCCTCAGCCTCCCAAGTAGTTAGGATTACAGACACACACCACTGTGCTATGCTCATAATTTTATGGATAAAACTGCTGATAATTTTGTTCCTATAACTTTAAGACTAGGAGCCACTTGTTGCTAGTAAATTATAACCCAGGCAAGCCCTAGAACACCTTCTTAGAATCAAAAACACCTGCTAACTGTTGCTTAACTCATTAATTAAATGCCTTATAATTATTATGCCTAAAAATATTTTCATCTTAGATCCACAGGTTTCACTCATTTCACATAAAGCAAAGAGTAGTATCTTACCCAATGAGCCAGCACCCTAGTGGTAAATTAAAGAAACTCACTAAGCCAAAGCTGAGGTAACATACAAGATAGCATACCACCATTCCTAGCTCCTGGCACAATGCCTAGCCTTTGGCAGTATTTAACAAACATGAGCTCAAGGAGTGAATGAGAAAGAATGAATGACAAGTTCATCAAAATTTAAAACTTTTGTGCTTCGAAGTACAATCTCAGGAAAGTGAAAGTACAACCCAAAGAATGGAAGAAAACATTTGCAAAACATTTATGCAGTACAGGACTTGTATCCAAAATATTTCAATAAATACAACTCAAAAATAAAAGACAACCCAAATGAATGATGGGTAAAGGATTTAAACAGGTATACCTTTAAAAACATATATACACTGAGGTGGGTGGATCACTTAAGCTCAGGAGTTCAAGACCAGCCTGGAAAACATGGTGAAACCCCTTTTCTACAAGAAATACAAAAATTAGCCAGGCACGGTGGCGTGCACCTGTAGTCCCAACTACTCAGGAGGCTGAGGTGGGAGAATCGATTGAGCCCAGGCGGCAGAGGTTGCAGTGAGTCAAGATCATGCCACTGTATTCTAGCCTGGGCAACAGAGTGAGACTCTGTTTCCAAAAAAAAGAAGAAAGAAAAGAAAGTAAAATATATATGTATACACACACAAATAGTCAATAATCATAAGGACAGATGCTTAACATAATTTGCCATTAGAGAAATGCAAAACAAAATCACCTGGAGAAACGAATGATCCTCATTACAATGACCACCATCAAAAAACAGATAATGACAGCTGCTGGGGAGGATGCAGAGACACCAGAAACTCATACCTTACTGGAGAGAACATAAAACAGTACAGCTGCTTTTCAAAGAATTTGGCAGCTCCTCAAAATGTTAACATGGAGTTACTCAATCACCCAGCAATTCCACTCCTAAGTTTACAATCAAGAAAAATGAAAACTTGTGTCCACAGAAAATTTGTACACAAATGTTCACAGTAGTATTATTCATAATGGACAAAAAGTGGAAACAACCCAAATATCCATCAATTGATGAACAGATAAACAAAATGTGGTCTGTCCTTACAATGGAATAGTATTTGGCAATAAAAAATGAAGTACTGATACATGCTACATGGATGAACCCTGAAAACATGTTAAGTAAAAAAGATGCCAGTCACAAAAGACCACATATTATATGATTCCATTATATGAACGATCCAGAATAGGCAAGCCTGTAGAGACAGAAAGTAGATTCATGGTTGCTAAGGGCTAAAGGTGGGGGTCAGGAAAGCTAGAGGTGAAATTGGGAGCAATTGCAAATAGGCATGGAATTTCTTTTTTGGATAATGAAAATGTCCTAAAATTGCTTGTGATGATGGCTCCAGAACTCTGTCTTTATACTAAAACCTTTGAATTGTATACTTCATTTGTTGTTTTTTGTTTGGTTTTGAGACAGAGTTTCGCTCGTTGCCCAGGCTGGAGTGCAATGGTGTGATCTCGGCTCACTGCAGCTCCCACCTCCCAGGTTCAGGTGATTCTCCTGCCTCAGCCTCCCAAGTAGCTGGGATTACAGGCACCCGCCACCATGCCCAGATAATTTTTTGTAGTAGAGATGGGGTTTCATCATGTTAGCCAGGCTGGTATCAAACTCCTGATCTTAGGTGATCCACCAGCCTTGGCCTCCCAAAGTGCTGGGATTAGAGGTGTGAGCCACCACGCCTGGCCTGAATTGTATATTTTAAATGGATGAATTTTATGGCATGTGAATTATACCTCAATAACCCTGTTTAAAAAAAATAGAAATACAGCCAGGTGCAGTGGCTCATGCCTGTAATCCCAGCACTTTGGGAGGCTGAGGCGGGCAGACCAGCCTGATTAACATGGAGAAACCTTGTCTCTACTAAAAATTAGCCAGGCGTGGTGGTGCATGCCTGTAATCCCAGCTACTTGGGAGGCTGAGGCAGGAGAATCACTTGAAGCCAGGAGGCAGAGGTTGCAGTGAGCTGAGATCGCGCCATTGCACTCCAGCCTGGGCAACAAGAGCGAAACTGTCTCAAAAACAAAACAAAACAAAACAGAAAAACAGAAAAAATGACAGATAATTATGCTAAGGTCACAGCAGACCAAAAGCCCAACATAACTAGATAGCATGGGGGCTGATTAAACACAATATTGGAATGCTGTTGTTATTCTCTACCTACTTTCCAACTCAAACAAATAAACAAATACAAACACATTCGTGTGAATTTATACACAGTTCAATCATTCTGTTACTGTGAGCACAGATCTTTACTAGAATAATATATCTAAATTTGAGTTCTACAGATTAAATAATGAGACAACAATAAGGTTTCCAAAGACGGTTTCAAAAGGGGAACTAAGAAAAGACTGTAATTATTTAATTTAATTTCTTTTTTTTTTTTTTGGAAATGGAGTTTCACTTTTGTTGCCCAGGCTGGAGTGCAATGACGCGATCTTGGCTCACTGCAGCCTCCACCTTCTGGGTTCAAGCGATTCTCCTGCCTCAGCCTCCTGAGTAGCTGGGATTACAGGCATGTGCCACCACACCTGACTAATTTTGTATTTTCAGTAGAGACGGGGTTTCCCTATGTTGGCCAGGCTGGTCTCAAACTCCCGACCTCAGGTGATCCGCCCACCTCAGCCTCCCAAAGTGCTGGGATTACAGGTGTGAGCCACCACACCTAGCCTAATTTTATTTATTTTTTTGAGATGGAGTCTCGCTGTGTTGCCCAGGCTGGAGTGTAGTAGAGTGCTGCCTCCAGGGTTCAAGCAATTCTCCTGCTCCAGGGGGATGGTTCTAGGATACCCCCTTGCATACCAAAATCTGAGAATGCAGAAGTTCTCTTACATAAAATTGCATAGTATTTGCAAATAACCCACAAACATCCTCCTGCATTACTTTAAGTCTGGGGTGTCCATTTTTTGGCTTCCCTGGGTCACACTGGTAGAAGAACAATTGTCTTGGGCCACACATACATATACTACACTAACACTAATGATAGCTGATGGGCAAAAAAAAAAAAAAACGCTAAAAATCTCATAACATTTTAGGAAAGTTTACAAATTTGTGTTGGGCCACATTCAAAACTGTCCTAGACTGAGGGTCGGACAAGCTGCTTTAAGTCATCTCTAAGTTACTTATAATACCTAATACAATATAAATGCAATGTAAGTGGTTGTCATATTGTATTTTTCTTTGTATTATTTTGCTGTTGTATTATTTTTTATTGTTAAGTTTTGTTTTGTTTTGTTTTTTAGTATTTTTGATCCGCTGTTGGTTGAATCTGCAGATGCAGAATGCTCGGATAAGGAAGCCAACTGCACTCCCAGATACCAGTGACTTGCTTACTCTCTACTTATTATCTCTTATTCTCTATGCCTTCATTCTAGCATATGCTTCATTCTAGCATAACTAATCACCCTTCTATATTCTGAAGTCAGAAAGGACAATATCTAGATCACTGCTCAAGAGTTCTGAACTGGGAGATTAAAAAGGTGGGCCAGCTGGGCACGGTGGCTCACGCCTGTAATCCCAGCACTTTGGGAAGCGGAGGCAGGTGGATCACGTGAGGTCGACAGTTCAAGAGTAGCCTGACCAACATAGAGAAACCCTCTCTCTACTGAAAATACAAAATTAGCCGGGAGTGGTGGCGCATGCCTGTAATCGCAGCTACTCGGGAGGGTGAGGCAGGAGAATCACTTGAACCCCGGACGCAGAGGTTGCAGTGAGCCGAGATTGCGCCATTGCACTCCAGCCTGGGCAACAAGAACAAAACCCATCTCAAAAAAAAAAAAAAAAAAAAAAAAAGAAAAAAAAAAAAAAGGCTGGGGAGGTGACACAGGAGAAAGACAGGCCTCCCAGAATGCCCTCTGTGTGTAGTTGTTCACGGAAACCACATGAACAGAAAATAGCTACAACAGCTAATTCTTACTAAGGTGGCAAGCATTGTGCATAACACTGCCTAATGTGTGATGTTAAACGTTTTCACCAGGTCAGCCACTTAATCGTCAGAAAACTGGTGGCCAACTATGAGGTTTCACATTGATGTTTAATTGCTGTTCCTAAAGAAGTGCGTGCATTTTTAAAAAACAGAGGATGGGAGGTAGGTTGGAAAGGGAAGATAAGCGGCATTGGAAAAATCGACTGTGATTACTGCATTTTTATCAAATATGTCTGTCTGGATTATGTGGTTAGAATTACTGCAAATTTGGCTTCTGTAAATACTTTAAAACTTTTTCCAGTGTTTTCATTATTAGATCCACTATGCAGGCTTTGAGTGGGCTGCCATTTAATTCAGATATCAAAGTACTTTACAAGTAACTATTAGCATTTATCATCTACACGTGGAAAACTATAGCAAAGAAAGGTCAATCAAAAGTTGTGCTCAAGGTCATCAGATAAAATAAGATTAATCCTGAAAAATTCTACCACGAAGACCAGGGGTCCGGCTAAGTGTGGTGGTGGTAAAAATGTTTATCAGACGTCCCTCTAAAGAAACCTCAAATGGGAGAAAAATGTACCAGCCCCAGGAATGTACACATTTGGGTTTTTCCTTTTCCTTTTTTTTTTTTTTTTTTTGAGACAGGGTCCCGCTCTGTTGCCCAGGCTGGAGTGTAGTGGCGCGATCTCTGCTCACTGCAATATCCGCCTCCCGAGTTCAAGCGATTCTCCCGTCTCAGCCCCCCGAGTAGCTGGGATTACAGGCGCGCGCCACCACGCCCAGATAATTTTTTTGTATTTTTTAGTAGAAATGGGGTTTCGCCATGTTGGCCAGGCTGGTCTCGAACTCCTGGCGATCCGCCCGCCTAGCGCTCCCAAAGTGCTGGGACCACAGGCGTGGGCCACCGCGCCCGGCGCACATTTGGGTTTCGTGGTCAGAAAAAGCACGACCACCCCAACACATAAATCTGGCGAATCATACGCAAATTCCCTCAGGCTATATAACCTTCCACCGCTCTTCATACTTTTGGACAGGCACATACTGTTATTTTAGGGAAGGAAACGGATCAGAGACCTTGTCTCCTTTTTCTGCACTACCAAACACACCAAACGGCGTCCCTAGCAATCAGATTCCAGAAACATTTCCTTTCCTCTTGAAAGCCCACCGCTCCCTTCACTCAAAGAAGAGAATAATCAGGGGCCTAAAGAAGCTGTCCCGCCAACCTGCAGGGAAGAGCTGTGGAAGAACCACTTGCCGCGCCAAAAGCATCCCGCGCCGCACTATGGAGGCAGCCATCTTGGAGCGTACCAAAACGAAGGGCCAACGGGTTACGGACAGAGGAAGGGGCGGAAGGGGCGGGGTTACAGCTCGACCTCTCGGGGCGCCCAGAATTGGACGAATCCCGTTTGTCGCTCTCGGCGCCAGGACCGACGCTCCGCCTCCTCGCCCCGGTTCCAGTAGTTGGTATAGTCCGAGACGGTATGGCTGCGGCACTTCGGCCCTCGAGTCGAGTTCTCCTGCAGGCACCGCAGATTTCGATGTATCCTGGGGTGGGAGGCTCCGGCTCCGTCAGCTGCCGCTGCCCTCTCGGAGGTATCCGCGGCCTTAGCCTAGGGAAAGAGGGGAGGGATGGGAGAGAAGGGAGTGTTAGACCCCAACTAGCGTCTCTTTGGAGCAGCCACAGCTGCTAAGTCACTCACTGGCCTGGAGCGCACCCTGGCCCTCTAGTTACACGTGGGGGCAGTGGTGACCCCTGGGGGTCGTGGATACCCCCAGTGCCTGCAAATCGAAGGACTGCTGGGGTCTTGACATTGGGGCTGTAATGCACCCTCATATGGGGCGACGTTGGTCTTCAGGAACACCCCTCCAGCGTTGGGAGACATTATTTTCTTTCTTTCTTTTTCTTTTTTTTTTTGAGACGAAGTCTCGCTCTGTCGCCCAAGCTGGAGTGCGGTGGCACGATCTCGGCTCATTGCAACCTTCGCCTCCCGGGTTCAAGCGATTCTCTTGCCTCAGCTTCCCGAGTAGTTGGAACTACAGGCGTGCGCCACCACGCCCGGCTAATATTTTGTATTTTTAGTAGAGACAGGGTTCACTATGGCCAGGCTGGTTTCGAACTCCTGACCTCGTAATCCACCCGCCTCGGCCTCCCAAAGTGCTGGGATTATAGGCGTGAGCCACCGCGCCCGTCCTTTTTCTTTTCTGCAGAGTTTGGGAGCAGAGGTCTTAAGGAGTCTGAGTTCTGCTAACAATCTAAAAGACTTTAGCACCTTTCTTCATTTTTCAAAACTATCCTTTAACATCTCTATGAAAAGAGTTAAATTTGAAGATGCTAGTGAGTGATAGTAAAAATGTTTGTCAGGCATTACTTTAATGTATTTTATATACATTAATTCCTTTTCTCTAGACAACACCCAGCAAGAGAAGTACCATTCTTTTCTCCATTTACAGAGGAGGAACAAGGTTAAGTAATTTGCCCAAGGTCAGAGGGAACTGTTAGAGGCGGGATTTGAACACAACCAACAATAGAGAGACCTACTCCTAACCACTTCATTGGACTGCCTTTCTGTAAATAAATAGCAATTTTTATTGTTACCTTGTTACTGCAGCTCAGAGAACTCTGTTAGTTCGTGATTCTTTGGCCAAGCTTCATCCGTTTTATGTCATGCATAGCCAAGGATCTAAAGAAAGGATGACGTTTCCCAAATCTAGTAAGCTGTGATCAGTGATTTCCATGTATCTCAAATGTATTTTGAGTCCACATCTGAGAGGCCTTAACCCCCTCATTTCACAGAGGACAAAACTGGGAGTTCCAGTGATCACGCTGCAGCTTTTTCCACTACTCTATGCTTCTCCCTGAATAAACCAAAACTGAATATGCCTGTTTTGCATTTAAATGTTACTGGTTTTTTTTTAATGCCCTTGATACCCTTTAACAGATGGCGAATGCCCATTTGTACTTCAAATCCCAACGTCCTGTCGACCAGTCCCCACACACGGTTTCTCACTAGCTATGGTTAATCACTAGCTTCATTCACACACAGAAGTAAAACTTGTTTTGCTGAGGATTTGCATTCTCTGATAGTTCATAAATGGTTTTTCCCAGGAATTATATTTGTACAGTCATATTTGTACCTGTCTAATGGGTTATTTATAATAGATGTTAATTAGAGGCAGTCAAGCCTCTACTCATGTGCTAACTTCTAAAACGGTCAAAATGACTTTACTTTTTTCTTTCTCTGATTTTTAGCTAAAAGATACCTACTTACAGATAATGTGGTGAAATTAAAAGAATTTCAGCAAAAGAAAGTGGCTGTTGCATGCAGTCTTCCTGGCACTAAAGGTAATAGAATCTATTTTGTTAATTCTGTAATTTATCTGTCATTTAAGTTTCTCTGTCTTTATCCCTCCCTATTCAGTGTCTCCTTCAGTGACTTTATTATGCCTTAGAAAAAGTTGAGACCATTTATTGTTAGTTTCATAGTGAACTCTTATATTCATTTTGCATCTCACACTTTGTTGCTAGAAAGTCTACAGCTCTCCTCTTATTCCTTCTCTTACAATCCCAGAGAAATATTAAAGCTAGTACTGCGATTGTTCGTCTAGATCTGTGCCACTGACAGTGTGGTTTGAGGACCAGCGGCATCAGCGTCTATTGGGTGGTTGATAGAGATGCAGATAGAAAGGCCCCAGATCATTCATATGCACAATAAAGTTTAAGAACTTGAGATGATTGGCTTTCAAGCTTTTTGAGGTAACCTTCAGTGAAAAATGCATTTTATGCTGTATCTCAGTACACGCAAACATATCTATATATAAATGAAATCAAATGAAACAAAACAGTACTATGTGTGATGGTATGTTTTGACATTTTTCACTCTGTGCTAGAAAAGTCAGTAGGATAAAACATTTCTTAAAAAACAAGAGAAACCTGACTGCCAAAACTAGGATTTGACTGGGTGTGATGGCTCATGCCTGCAACTCCAGCACTTTGGGAGGCCAAGGCAGGAGGATTGCTTGAGCCAGGGAGTTTGAGATCAGCCTGAGCAACATAGACCTCATCTCTACAAATTTTTTTAAAGTTAGCTGGGCGTGGTAGTACATGCCTGTAGTCACAGCTACTCTAGGGGCTGAGTTGGGAGGATTGCTTGAGCCTGGGAGGTCTAAGGTGTAGTGAGCTGTGATCACACCACTGCACTCCAACCTGGGTGACAGAGTGAGACCCTGTCTCCACAAAAAGATAAATCTGGGATTTGCTTTGAAAAAAAAATCCAGTGTGTTTGGGGATTGTAGAGTAGAGGAAACATAATTAGCAAAATATTGATAATGATTGAGGCTGGGTAATGGCACTCAGGGGGATTATTATACTGTTCTTTCATTTCTTGGGTATGTTTGAAAATTTTTGTTACTAAAAGCTAAAAGCAAGAAGACCACCCTAGGTCTTTTTTCCTTTCAGCACCTGAGAAAGCTTGTTGCATTCATTCTCTCCCTCCTGCACATAGAGTTCTTCCCAGCATTTCATACTGTTTATTGTGTGTGGGTGCAGCCGTGGTCCCTGGGGGTTGTGGATAGACCCACTTGATCCCTCTTTATGAACACATCCAAGACTTTCCTTTTTTAAAAATAACTCTTGGTGTCCCTACTGACTTTTTAAGCTATAGACCCAGCTTTCCTTCCTCTCACTGCCAGATGTTTGTGAACCCCTGATTAACACATTAATATTCTCTTTGTTTTGGTTTATTTTTTAAGAGACAGTCTCGCTCTGTCACCTAGGCTGGAGTGCAGTTGGCACCATCGTAGCTCACTGCAGCCTCAAACTCCTGGAGTCAAGCAATCCTCCTGCTTTAGCCTCCTGAGTAACTAGGACTACAGTGCCACCATGCCGCCTAATTTTTAATTTTTAATTTTTTGTGTGTCAGGGTCTCACTGTGTTGCCTAGGCTGGTCTCAAACTCCCGGGCTCAAGCTAGTATCCCGCCTCAGTCTCCTAAAGTACAGGCGTGAGCCACTGTACCCATCCTGATACTTTCTGCCTCCATTCCCTCACAGTTCAGTCCTCCAGAAATCAGTGTTCTCTTGCTGCTCCACTAATTGTACTGTTATATAATACCATATATGGGGCAGAAAAAATAAACCTTTGGAATGGGGGGAATATATTTATCCCCAGTTGAGTAGGCTCAATCTAGATTTCACCTCAGTCTTTTCTTTCTACCCCAGGTATTTTAGATCTATTTGAGGTTTGCAGTTAGGACTTCATGTCATCCAGTTGTGATTTCCAGTTGTCATAGTCTTCGTAAGGCTGTGGCAGTTGTGTACATGTTCTAAAAGGCAATTAATATAGTCAGTGCCAATCTGCTCTGTTGTCAGACTGCTATGTTTAAAGTCCTGTCAACCTTTCGTCATTTTGAGCCCACAGTGGTACTCTGTTGTATACCACACCATTAACATACTCATCCCTCCGGCATCCTGGCTTTCCCGTGATCGACTCTGCCCTTTCTAGGGCGGTTTCTGGTTGATCTAGTCAACGGCTGTTCCCTCCACACCTTCCATTCCCAATTCTCTTCTGTTGTTCATGCTGATTCCCTTACGTAGAATGCTCCCCTCCTCCATTTCTCCAACCTGATTCAGCCCTTTCCTGTCTCACTGGTACCCCTCCACTTTCACCAACCTGGTCTGTCCTGACTCATAATAATAAAGGTTGTAACAGGACTCTTCTGTCCATTCTGAGTTGTAATAGGTGTCGTAACAGGAGAGAAGAGTCCTATTGTGTTTATAGTCATTCATGTGTCACCTCCTCCATCATTTTCAGGTAGCTTTGTGTAAATTTAGCTTGCCTTGCTTTAAGTTCTTTGAGGGCAGGAACTATTCCTTATCCTTCTTGGTGTCTCACACACAAAGAAGGATACTTCTGAGTATGATTATATGACAAACAAATGTTGATTGATTTGTTTTAAAACACAAGTTATATCTGTTGAAATAATGGATTCTTAAGGTTTTTTTTTTTTTTTTTTTTTCTGAGACAGAGTCTCACTCTGTCACCCAGGCTGGAGTACAGTGGCATGATCACCGCTCCTTGCAACCTCTGCCTCCCAGGTTCAAGAAATTCTTGTGCCTCAGCCTCCCCAGTAGCTGGGATTACAGGCGTGCACCACCACACCTGGCTACTTATTGTATTTTTAGTAGAGATGGGGTTTCACCATGGTGGCAAGGCTGGTTTCAAACTACTGACCTCAAGTAATCTGCCCACTTCGGCCTCCCGAAGTGCTGGGATTACAGGCATGAGCCACTGTGCCCAGCCTCTTAAGGTTTATTAAGGCAGATTAAGAGGTACAAGATGTAACATCATCTCTTTGATAAGTCGACTTGAGACTTTTTAGACTGGAAGTTGCTTAGAAATATTTAATAGACTAAATCCTCGTAGATCTAACAGGTGACAGAAGGAATGAAAATGAGAACAATAATGTTTCTATTTACTGGCAGTTACCATATGGCAAATGCTTTACGTCTGTCATCTCAGATAACCCTATGAGGAAGGTACCACGATCCTTACTTTATACATGAGGAATCAAGTCTCAGAGACAAGGGTCTCCATCAGAATGCAAGTGACCGACCTTAGATTTCAGCCCAGGTCCTTCCATCTCTAGAGCCTTTGACGGTTACGTGGTTCTGCAAATAAAAATTGGAGGATCCACTGCATTATCTCAAACCTAGTAGGTCTTTTCTTTTAAATCAAGAACAGTGCCTCTGCTTCTAGTTCTTGTGTTTTAGATGTATTTGTGCCACTCCTTTCAGCAACATTCCTTCAAAGCTCTGGGCCTTGGAACGAATCCTATAGCTATTTCCTGGCAGCTTCTGATACTGACAACAGTTCTGCCTTCTGGAAAGCAGATGCTTGGTTGGTGCCTGCTTTGCTTTTCACCCCACATTTTGATGGGAATAAAGCCCCTTATTGATGCCAAGAAGAGGTGCCTCCTTTTGGTTTTTGTCCCCACAGTTGATCAGATACAAAGACAAGGAAGAATGATAGACTGTGATGACATTGAAACGATTCTGTCACTGAAAAACTGCTGCTGTTTGAGGACTGTTTTCCCCCCTGCCCATTACATAGTACTTTAGCATGCCTTCTAACAGCTGAGTAAAAAGAGACCGAGACGAATGAAAAAGAGGTGAAGTTGAATCAAATGAAAGAAACATGACTCATGTGGGTCCACCATTGTGGACAAACCTACCTTCAACTGACATTTTCTTTTTAGTTTTCCTGTTTGTTTCTCTGCCAATTGACGGTTTGGGTGTCTGGCTACATTTTCTTTCTTTTTCTCATGAGTCACCTATAGATTCAGTTATTTGAGCCAAGCCTCTGGGACAGTAATTCTCAAACTTTAGTATACCAGAGGATGACCTAGGGAATCAAAAATGCCAATTCTTGAGCTCTTACCTCAGAGATTTTATTTTAGAGAGTCTTGAGTGGGCCTGGCCCTGTGCCCATGCCCCTGCCTCCTATGACAGATGCTATCTGCTGACACTGTTCCAGAGGAGATTGGCCAGTGATGGCAGCTGTGCATCCCTGAGCCCCTCTCAGTACCCCTCTGCAGTGAGGCGGGGTAGGGCTTCCCCATCTTCCTGAGGTCAGACTCCTTCTACTCCCAGTCAGCCTGAGTGATGGTCACCATACTGTGCTTTCTTCCAGAAACTTATTTTAGAAACTTGAAAGAGAAGCTGACCCAGAACAAGCTCATCTTGAAGGAGGAGTTGATAACCTTACTTCATTTGTGTGAGTCCCGGGACCACGTGGAGCTGGCTAAAGATGTCATTTACAGGTGAGGCATTTCCTTGGAATGCTGCCGCCCTCATCCCTTCTTACTCTGTTCCTTTCTGTGAGCAGTCTCATCCACTTCGAAGATGTTGCCACCTCTACACCAGTGACTTCCAAATCTCTTGTTCAGATGCTTACCTTGAACTGCAGACACTTACATTCACTTATTGAGCACACACTTACTGGGTTCCTACTACATGCTGGGTGCTGAGGATAGAAAAGCAGATATTTTATGTCTAAAGAAGTTACTAGCCTATTCACTAACTCCACTGACATATCCCCTAGGTCTTCAAATTCAACACGTGCAAATTCATTGCTCTTCGTCTGTTTTCCTTCTCACTGGCTAGTCACTCAGGACAGATATTTTGGAGCCTCTTTACTCTCATCTCATTTGCCTCTCTTTCCTGATAGGGTAAGAAATCCTCTTGGTTCCGCTTCCTTGGTATCTCCCTCAGCTCCAGCCCTCCTCTCTTTCTCTCCCCATTGGCAGTGTCTTAGTTCAGGCTTTAATGTCTCTCACCTGAATCCTTTCAGTGGACTCCTAACTATTCTTCCTTCTCCAGTCCTGCTATGCCTTTCTGATCCATTATTAAAGTTTCCCATGTCAGAAAGAACTCACATGTAAGCATAGCCTGCCACTGGGAAAGCCAGCAAAGGCTTCACTTACCAGGGAGCAGTATGACATCAAATCAATAGACTTCATTTCTGAAATTATGTTCATTGCTCTTTTCCATTTTTTTTTTTTTTTAACTATTTTCTTTTTTTTTTTTTTGAGATGAAGTCTCAATCTGTTACCCTGGCTGGAGTATAGTGGTGCGATCTTTCAGCTCAATGCAACCTCCACCTCCAGGTTCAAGCAATTCTCTCTGCCTTAGTCTCCCAAGTAGCTGGGGTTACAGGCGCCTGCCACCACGCTCGGCTAATTTTTTTATTTTTAATAGAGAGGGGGTTTCACCATGTTGGCCAGGCTAGTCTCGAACTCCTGGACTTAAGTGATCTGCCTACCTGAACCTCGCAAAGGCTGGGATTACAGGCATGAGCCACCACGCCCAGCCCTCCTTTCCATTTTTAAAAGATCTGTTTCTACATATGAACCTGCATTTATATGTACATTTATAGAGAGAAATACAAGATAATCATATAAAGAATACTGAAAGATTGTCTACCAAAAGTTAACTGGTTCTCTGGGAATTGTGGATTATGTATTTTTTGTTTGTCTAAATGTATATTTTTCTGATTTCTCAAACGTGTTTACAGTGGACATTAATTTTATAACATGAAAAAATGTCTTTTTTTAAGTTAAAAAAAATTTTAAAAATTCATTGAAAAATTGAAAAACACCAAAAAGTAGAGAGAAGAAATATATCACAAATTCTGCTGTTTCAGTTGTCTGTTGCTATATAACAAACCACACCAGAATTTAATGGCTTAACACAGTGACTATTTATTATTTCTTATAATCCTTGGATCAGGAATTCAGGCCCATCTCCACTGAGCAGTTCTTGGTTGGTGTCGGATGAAGCCACTCACTCATTTGCAGTCAGGTGGTAGCTGGGCTGTACTGCACAGTCCAAGAAGGCCTCTCTTGAGTTTGTGATGCCTCATTGCTCCTCCATGTGGCCTCCCCCCTTCTTTCTGGAGTGCCTCATCATTCATTTGTTGGTTTGAGCTGCACTGGCCCACAACCCAGATGTGAGCTGCCAGGCATGATAGAGCTGCCCAGAATTGGCATGGCTTCTCTTGGTCAAGGCAAGTTGCCTGGCCAGACCAAAGTCAAGAGGTGGGGAAAAGGATTCTACCTATGGATGGATGGAGCCATATGCACATACAGAGAAGGAAGGAATTGATGGCAGCCATCTTTGGGGCCTGTTGCTTCCATCTAAGAAACCACTGTTAATATTTTTGCAGTTTTTTTTTTTTCACAGATGCAAAGATTTCGTTGTTTTGAAAGATTTGTTATAGTTATTGCTGTATAATTATTTTCTAAATTAATATATTTTCTTGTTAATCATATCCTTAGGAATCATAGTTTAATGACAATACAGTATTTATTGTACGTTAGGTAGTTTCATTAACTATGCCCATATTGTTGGGCATTGAAGTTTTTTCTAATTTTTCACCAGTATAAATAATGTCATGATGAGAAACTCGCTCCTTAAAACTTACTCTTTGTTTCCTTTTGGGGATCGGAGGGTATGAACTTTTTAAAGTTTACCAATATGTAACTGTCAGATTATTTTCCAAAAGTGTTATGCTAATTTAAAGTCACACTGTATCTGCACACTTAATTCTGTATTTCAGTTTCACAAAGTTAAATCATTTCCCTCTGGCGTGTTTTCCTCTCACACATTTTACTACACAAAGCTATTCAATGTTTGTAAGAGTAGTAAAATGAGATAAATATTCTGAGCGCTCTTTCTACTCTTATTTTTATCATAAATATTCAAAAGTATTGCTCAATTCCTTTACTAATGCTAATAAATCTCTACCTAGTTGCTGACCTTTCCTTCTCTAGTTGTAGACAGCTGGACAAGTGGAAAGATGGGTAGATCCAAGGCACAACCAACACGTTCTCTTTCTCCCTGAGTCAGGCAGCCCATGACGGGGAAAGGAGAGTCATGAGCTGAAACATAAGCTTTTTATTGAGCCAAAAATGGGGAGCATCTTAATACCCTCGTTATGATGACCAAATGCTGTTTGGTTTATTGAGGGATTTTAGATCCTCTTGAATATTTCTTGTCCAGAAGGCAATTCATTATCTCAGTGACTTTCTAGCACTTTTATTAATGTGAATGTCATTTAGCATGTTAATGTCAAATTAGAAAACTTGTTTTTGCTTTCTTTTGCTTTTAATCTGGCACAAGTTTCTCATGAGAATATTTACTGAAATATGTTGATGTTTGAAGATGTTTTCCTTAGCATGCCTTACATTTTATAAGGGCTAACATACATTGAAGACTTATGTGCCAGGCACATCATCTCATTTAATCGTCGCAAAAAAAAACTGAGTTGGGTTCTCTTCTTCCCTCCATTTTACAGATGAGGAGACGGAAGTGCAGAATAGTTAATTAATTTGCTCATCATCACACACGTAGAAGAGCTAGGATTTGAATGATCAGTTTGGATTCAGAGCCTAAAAACCCTTAACCACTATCCTATTTTGCCTTCCAACAACTCAATTTATAAGTGTTGTAATGAAGCAATGAATATTATTTGTAACTTTTTTTTTTTTTTTTTTTTTTTTTTTTAAGATGGAGCCTTGCTCTATCGCCCAGGCTGGAGTGCAGGGGCACGATGTCGGCTCACTGTAAGCTCTGCCTCCTGGGTTCAGGCCATTCTCCTGCCTTAGCCTCCTGAGTAGCTCAGACTACAGGCACCTGCCACCACACCCAGCTAATTTTTTTTTGTATTTTCAGTAGAGACGGGGGTGTCACCGTGTTAGGATGGTCTCGATCTCCTGACCTTGTGATCCGCCTGCCTCGGCCTCCCAAAGTGCTGGGATTACAGGCATAAGCCACCGCGCCCAGTCTATTTGTAACTTCTATAAGTGGATAATGAAATGTATCAAAGTACACCTCATCATTCTATTATGGTATCATTGTAGTATGTGCATTTAGAATAGACTAGCGTAATTACTCTAACTCCTCGATGATTTTTAGCAGAAGGTAAAAAGTATCCTGTTTTGTCGTCAGTGCTTCTCCCCAAGGTATTTTAGGTTCACTCATTGTATGAATCTAAATCTAAAATAAATATGAATATGAAGATTCATAATGAATAAATCTCAAATCCGATTTACGTGTAATCATGAGTTGTTGATATTTGTCACATATTGTCCTCTTGGTGTCTAAAGTAAAAAGAATTAGTTATTGAAAGTAAATTTACAGTAGTGATATGCAGTTCTGACTGACAGACTGGCTGCCTGTAGAAATCTCAAGCCACATAGAACACATCATTGTCTTTGAGATTAGCCTTTTTCTAAAACGTAAACATTCGAAACTACATTTAATTTGTTTAGCCAGGTGATCGTAACTCCTGTGTACCTTTCCCAAATTTAGAAAAGCAGAGAGATTGCTGTAAATTGTAAATGTGACTGTTGGTTGCCTGCTATCCTATATGAGGGTGAAGCCAGCCTCCAGGAACACAGAGCATCACCCCCGCTTCTTTCCCTTGTTCTCCTCTGGGTGGGGCCCATTCTGATGCACTTACAGATGCTACTAGACTCCTGCTATTTCCTAAGATGTGCTCACACTCAGTCTCGGGGTTGTTTCTAAATTTAGAGAATGATTACAACATACGTTTTTCCTGTTTCTTTTATTTTATGTCAGTCTGCTATAAACTCTGTTTATTTAAATGGTTGGTATACTTCTGCACTCCAGGATTCCTGATTGTCTGAAATCTCCACTTCTCCTCCAGACTGTGAGAGAACTTTATTCTCTGTTGTGTCCCAGCACCTGGCATAGTACATGCCACAGTCTGTGTCTGTCCTTTTTCCTGTGTCCTACCTTTTGGCTCATTGAATCATTTTCATTACCAGGTACCATGCAGAGAACAAAAATATCACTTTGGGGGAGTATAAGTTTGGACCACTTTTTGTGAGGCTGTGTTATGAGCTGGATCTCGACGAATCTGCAGTGGAGTTCTTGAAAGACCAGGTTATTGTTTCCTAATTGTTTTCTCTGCCAATGTATGTGTTTTTGGTGATATTGGAAAAGGCATCTCTTCCATGCACATTATTCCTGGGTTAAACGATTTTCAAAGAAAGGCTGCTGGGCCTAATGAGCACTTCTCTGCATTTTTAAGTTTCTTTGCAGTCAGTTTGTGTGAAAGAAGGGTGGAGTGATATAGAACAAGTGTGGAGGAGATATAGGTACAGATGATCTTACCTTGGATGTGTATCATTGTGGGTTGTACACCTGCTCTTTTAGGGGCTTTCAATAGAGAAGAGCTTAAGACAGTCTCCATTTAAAGACTGACATTCCTATCCTTTACCTGTGTTCCTTCTCGATTTTGTATTGGTATTTTTCTGGTTGAAGACTACATTTGGGAGGTGCTTTTCTATTTTCAAAATACTTTCCCTCACATATTCTGACTTTCTGTTCCTAAAAACAAAAGTAAATAATTATTTTTATAGCTACTCATTGAATATTTACTATGTCCTCAGCATTGTGTTTAAGTAGTTTAAATATTTCATTTTATTTGTTTCTCACAATAGCCTTGATAAGGTAGATTTCCATTTTGTAGATAAAGAAACTGTGACCTAGAGACATTATAAATTCACTCATTTATAGTAAAGTCATTTTGATTACCAGAGACCATGTAGAGGACAGAAATATCACTTTGGGGGAGTATAAGCTTAGACTGCTTTTCATGAGGCTGTGTTTCCCATAATCAGAAATATTTGCTAAATTTTGGGGCCACAGCTGACCACCAGGTACATTTTTGTATATTTAGTAACTTACATAACAAGCTGAGTTGTTTTTCTGCCTCTTACTCTTTTTTTATACAAAATTTTCTCTGTACATGGTGGGCATGTTAACTCTAGGCTTGCCCCTCTTTAGTGACACCTGTGTATTAGAAAGATGACCATAATATATTAGTTAGCAGAGAAAAGGTTGTTTTAGAACAGTACAAATAGTTCAATCCTGTTTTTTTTCCCATAAAAAAAGACATACTAACATTAACATTTTAACAAAATATAAATTCGTACATACTGGGAAGATATACACTAACTCACTTTATCTTTAGGGGTAGAATTATTAAAAATTCTCACTTTTTACTTTATACATTTTTGTATTATTTTACTATTTTTAATAAACATATGTTAATGTTTCAGTTAAAGGAAAACAAAAGCTTCCCACTGTAATAAATCATAGCCACGAGTATGGTGATAAAAACAAAAAAAAAGATGAAAGCAAAGTGTTTTTTTTAGCCTGCTTGTATATGAAAAATTCACGTATAAGTAACTTTTCTGGAGTAGGATGAACAAATTCAAGTAAGTGACATAGGACCTAATCCTGCTTCTACCCGAACTTCTCTTATCCCCTACTTAAAACCCTGTAGTGTTGCCAACATGGTAGCCACATGGAGTCGTTGAACTGTGGCTAACTCAAATTTACATTTTAATTACTGGTTATAAAAAGAATGCAGTGTATGTTAATAATTTGTATATTGATTACATGTTGAAATTACATTATAGTAGGTTAAATGATTTAGTCTATTTCTGTTTACTTTTTTAAGTGAGGCTAATTGAAAATTTAGAGTCACATACGTTGTGATTCTGAAATATCCTTGGTGACTCAAAATACTTTTCCATTGGCTGGGGCTGCTCTGGTGGCTTTCCTTCACACTTCGAAGAAAACCCAGACCCCTGACTCTGACCTAGGGGGCCCATTGTGCCATCTCCCCATTCTCCCTTGCTGACTTCACTCTGGACCTATGTATTCTTCCTCAGCCATGGCGAGCTCACAGCCTCTAACTGGAACATTCTGCATCCTCATCCGTGAGGCTCCCTCCTTGACCTCACTGAGGTCTCTTCTCACAGTGCCTTCCCTGACTACCTTCCATCTGTCTTCTCTACTTGCTCTTCATAGACCTCACTAATAGCTGAAATTAATTTTTTTTTCACTTGTCTTATTCATTGTCTTCTCTACCAGAATTTAAGCTCTGCTGGATTACAAACCCTAGTTGGGTTTGGAGCAGGGTGTATGTATGTCCTGTTTATCATTTCTTTATTCTCAGCACCTAGAACAGGGTCTGCGTAGTAGGTGCTCAGAAAAGAGTGGACTTGAGCAAGGCGTTTAATGACACATTTGAATACCATGTGTCCCATTATCAGGGCACACAAAATGTTGAGATGTTAGCAAGATGTTGGTCAAAGGATACAAAATTTCAGTTAGGTGGAATAAGTACAAGGGATTTTTCTGTACAACATAGTGACTATAGGTAATGACAATGTATTGTATTCTTCAAAATTGCCTAAGAACAGGTTTTATGTACTCTCACCACACAAAATGAGTACATTAAGTAATGCATCTGTTAATTAGCTTAGCTTAACCATTCTGTAATATATACATATTTCAAAACAACGTATTGTTTTTTGAGTTTTTGTTTGGATACAGGGTCTTGCTCTGTCACCTAAGCGGGAATGCAGTGGCACTATTATCATAGCTCATTGCAGTCTCGTAACTCTTGGGTTCAAGTGATCCTCCCACCTCGGCCTCCCAAGTAGCTAGGACTCCAGCCTTGTGCCACCACACCTAGTTAATTTTTTAAATTTTTATTACTTTTTTAAGAGATGGGATCTTGCTGTATTGCCCAGACTGGTCCCGAACTCTTGGCCTCAAGTGATCCCGCCTCTCTCTCCCAAAGTACTGGGATTACAGGCGTGAGCCACCAAATGTATTTTTATTTGTCAATTAAATGCATACATACAAGTTGGAAAAAAATGTTGAGAACCACTGTTTTGGAGAATTATTTCAAAAGGCGAGTAATCAATTCTGTATTATCCGTTGCCAAAAAAAGACCATAGTTGTGAGACCCTCCTGCCTTAGTCCTCAAGTATATTTATAGCTACCATTTCATGTTAATAGCTGGCACCTAGTTTCTAGGACCACTCTGCCAGGGTTAATTAGCTAGTTTCTTTTCTCCTAAGCATGACAGATGACGTTTCCTTAAAGACGTCCTTCATGGTAGTTATGAAACCCAGAGATCTCTTGCTGTACCTCTCAGCATGACAGCCAAGAGAGTGGAAAGCATTTTAACTTTTTTCTTTTTTTTTTGTTTGAGACAGAGTCTCGCTCTGTCACCCAGGCTGGAGTGCAGTTGCACGATCTCAGCTTACTGCAACCTCCACCTCCTGGGTTCAAGCAATTCTCTGTCTCAGCCTCCTGAGTAGCTGGGATTGCAGGCGCCTGCCACTATGCCTGGCTAATTTTTGTATTTTTAGTAGAGACTGGGTTTCACCCTGTTGGCCAGGCTGATCTTGAACTCCTGACTTCGTGATCCACCTGCCTTGGGCTCCCAAAGTGCTGGGATTATAGGCGTGAGCCACCGTGCCCGGCCAACTTTTTTCAAAAATAAAACCTGAGTATATAAAATATATTAGAGAATTCAGATGGCCAAATGAGCAAAGTATGCAGAAAAATGAGACCTGGATAGATAAGAGACAGTAAAAGTACCTCCTCAATAAATAGTTTTAACTTTTAACCAAACTGTATTGTTCTTCTTCATTAGCATTTACGAGGTTTCTTCTCAGACTCCACATCATTCAATATTTTGATGGACATGTTATTTATCAAAGGCAAATATGAAAGTAAGTACTGCAATTTCTATTTGCTGAAAAATTCTGCTATTTGCTGGCCTGGGAATTAGGGGAGAAAATGAGTCATGCAAAAATGATTCTTATATCCCTGATAAGTGGCTGAATTCTGGAGACCTTATGAAGTTTGAAAACATCGTATTGCATATCGTCCCTTAAACTAAATGTCCCAGATTTTACTTATGCTAAAATTGTGAAGCAGCTTTTAAAACATTAGTTCTTCCTGTTTGACCTCATAGTTTATTTCAACATTTAGCTAATTGCTAAATGACTTGAGAAATAGCTTTTATTTTGTTGAAATACACTTTTCTGTAGATAGTGCTGAACAGATGAGAGCTTTGGGGGCCAACAGTAGAGGAAATCTGATTAACACTGCGATCCACTCTCACTTTTGGCAGGTGCTTTGGAAGTATTGATAGAGATGAAAAACCAAGATGTGAAGTTCAGCAAAGATACCTATGTTCTTGCTTTTGCAATTTGCTACAAACTGGTAAGACTCCTTCCCCTAAACTTTGAGAGCATTGTGGGAAGTCTTTGAGAGAGGATTTTTTTTCTCTCTATAAATAAAATTCAGTTCCTCTGAAGTCTGTTTTCCATCTGGTGCAAATGTTTTAATTTTAAATGTATTTATTTTTAGAAAACTCAAGTTAGCCCTATCAGACAGTTTTATGGGAAAATTTTTTCATCTTTCACTCTTCTCTGGTGATTGTGTGGATAGTGAGAACAAGAGGCAATGTGTTGGGTTTGGGCTCTGCTTTAAAGTCATCTCGCATGCTGGACTCTGCTAGATCCATCTTCCCTGTTGTCCTTGTCTATGGAAATCTTAGCTTCCTTCATTGAGCTTTCAAGGACTACTTTGTCTTCATATCTGAAGGTTTTTATAGTCACTGAAACTGGAAGTGATGTTTGTCACCTCCAGATATCCCTTAATTGTGCTCTATTTGTATCACCTCCCTGGTACTTCTGACACAGCCTAATGTTGTACTTAGTAGATGCACGTTCCATTCTCTCCACTTGAATGTGAGCTCCTTGAGGCATCTTTGTATCCTACCACCTAACACAGTGCCTGCTATCCAGTAGTTCTTTAATAAACATATGTGACATGAAAGTGAACGCTGAGGACAGAGACCATGACTTATAAGTTCTTTTATCAATACAAAAAATTAGCTGGGCGTGGTGGCATGCACCTTGTAATCCCAGCTACTCAGGAGGCTGAGGCAGGAGAATTGCTTGAACCCAGGAGGCAGAGGTTGCAGTGAGCCAAGGTCGTGCCACTGTACTCCAGCCTGGGCAACAGAGTGAGACTCTGTCTCAAAAAAAAAAAAAAAGTTATTTTATTATTACTGTACCAGGATTATTTCTTGCCTACAGAAACTGTTTCTTCAAAGTTTAGTGAATGATTATTGAAATAGTGAAATGATCAATGTTTAATGTATTACTGTTGTCATTTATACCATTTAAACTTTGGAAACCTGGCACACAAAACCTCTTTGTACTGAAAACAAAGGAACACTAAGCGAAGTGGAAGAACATGGGCTGTTGAAAAACCCTCCTGAAGAGTGTAGCAATGCCAGTTTTCCAAAACAAGGGGATAGCTGGGTTATAGTGGAAGGAAAACCAACTGGAAATTGAGAAACTTGGAGTCTAGTCTCCACTTTGGTATTATATAGCTTATATATATGGCTTATATAGCTGTGAACTGATCACCTATCTCATTTTACAAATGAGATAGATTTGGGAGTCAGCAAACTTTTCTTATAAAAGGCTAGATAGTAAATATTTTAGGTTTTGGGGGCCATGTATGTCTTTGCCTCATATGAACTCTGCCCCATATTATTTGTTTTTGTTCTTACAGGCCTTTAAAAATGTTAAAGTCGTTCTTAGCTGTAGGCTACATTTAACCCAAGGGTCATAGTTTGCTGACCTCTGGATTCAATAATTCTTTCATTCATACCATTCTACAATTCTAGGAGGCAAAAAAAAAAAAAAAAAACCACACAGCACTAGAGCATCACTTACTCAGCATTGTAATTCTCAGCCTTCTCATCTTCCACTTAGGGATGCCTCCCTGAGTGTATGCTGCAATGATGAGAATTTCAGTTCTGCTTAGAGGCCATGCGCAGTGGCTCACGCCTGTAACCCCAGCACTTTGGGAGGCCAAGGCAGGCAGATCACCTGAGGTCAGGAGTTCGAGACCAGCCTGGCCAACATGGTGAAACTTTGTCTGTACTAAAAATACAAAAATTAGCCAGTGGTGGCACATACCTGTAATCCTAGCTACTTTGGAGGCTGAGGCAGGAGAATCATTTGAACTGGGGAGGCAGAGGTTGTAGTGAGCCGAAATCGTGCTCTTGTACTCCAGCCTGGGCAACAGAATGAGACTCTGTCTCAAAAAATAAAATAAATAAATTAGGAAAGGCCAGAGGATTTTCTCCCCTGTGTTGTGTCCAAGAATAACTTGTTTCACCCAGTGGAGATGAGTTGAAAAAGTGATCTGGTCAGCCAGTAAAAATTCCACATCAGTTCTGGGAACTGTCCTCTCTCATCCCATTTGAACTCTATTTTGACAGGAGTTGCAACTCCTGTCATGACAGATGACATAGTTGCACAGCCAGGCTGCTCTCATAAACCTAATCCCCCACAGCATGCACAAAGGAAGAGGATTTGGTTCTACCACTGCTGTTTTTATATCACTGACATTCTTGGATTTTTCTTTTTGAGGTTTCTGTTTTCAGAGGATTATTTTATAATTTATGTTCAAATTAGTGTTCATGTTTTCAAATATTTGACATATGAATATTTTCAGATTGGAAATTCCCCAGAAAAAGTTTCCTGGTGTTGTTGAGCCTTAATCAGCTATTTAATATAGTAGCAGGCAGAACCTTTATACTTGTAAACTATGGGGTCTGTGTCTAGAAACTAGCCTGCCCAGATACAAAGAGATGTGTTTATTTTCTGGTAAAAACTGCCCCGATTCAGAAAATTGAAAATGAGCTTTAAAAATAAAGTTAATTTAGATTTGACCAGCTAACATATCAGTAGCCTGGTGTATTTGCAAATAGTGTTTATATGGGGCTTAATCTTTTAAGTGGCTTAAGGTAGGCTCTAGGAAATCCTTACAAAAGGAACTCTAAATATTGAGCACTATTAATCATTTTATTGAATTTAAAGGTTTATAACATTAATCGAACAATCCTGTCTCCTCACAGAATAGCCCTGAGTCTTTCAAAATCTGTACTACATTAAGAGAAGAAGCTCTACTCAAAGGAGAAATTCTCTCCAGGAGAGCATCCTGTTTCGCTGTGGCATTAGCTCTGAATCAGGTAAAGCTTTGTGGTGTACATAAGTAAACTGGGAGTGGCCAGGACTTCATTACTTTTATTTGTCCTTGCTTTTACTTTTTTCCTTCTGACTGCATCATAAAGAAGTAGTCCCCATAAAGAGACCAATGCCTTTGTTGCTATGGCAACCTATATCTATACCTGTACCGGCAAAGAATGTTTATATTTACAGTTGGGGACCTAACATGCATTTCTAAATAGAAGGGTAGAGAAATTTCTCAAGTAATTAAAATGAAAATTGCAAGTCATCGGATGACGTTGTAACGTTCTCAGAGAACAGTTTAATTTAATGCTCTCCAAAGTTGAATTAGCCTCAGATGAATGAAGACTGCTGTGTCAACCCATTGTAGAAGTGGAATCCATCACATACTTCATAGTTATACCCAACTACTGCTGTTATTTGGGTGACTTTAGTGATCATTTAGCCTCATTCCCCTGACTGGACAGGTGGAGGTAGCAGAGACCCAGAGATAAGAGGGGACCTCCCTGAGGTCATGCCTCAGTGATGCCAGAGTTAGAGCTGGAACCCTGGAACACACATCCCTCTGGAAGAGCCTCTCCTGAGATTTCCTATTCCAGAGCCTAAAAAATATGAAATGCTTTATATGTTTCCTATGTGGTAAAAGGAAATTTTATAGCAGAAAAATAGTAACCAAACCAGGTTGTTTTCCTGGCTGGTAAAATATAGCTGGAGAACTCTTTATTATTAGAAATCAAAACATGAGGGTGATCCATTTCCATATACTGCTGGGAAGAGTCACTGAAGGACGAGACTTAAGAGACTTTCTAGGCCTCTGCTGGGCCAAGATCATTTTTTTAACTTTCTAAGCTTCTCTCGCTGTCCAGGGGAATTATTTTGTCTTCTTAATCTGTCATGAGGTGAGTGAGTGAATTAAAGTCTCTTCGAAGACATGTGTTTTTCTTTCTTTGTATAGCTCCTGTAGTTTTTCTTTATTTAAGTCTAAGTTATACTGTTTGGTGCACAGATACATCATCACTGTTACATCATCACTGTGAATCCCTCACTGTAGCATTATAAAGTGCCTATCTAGGAATGTTTACTGCTTTTGCCCTGAATTCAACCTTATCTAATATTAATAACTCTATCCCTCTTTTTGCTTATTTCTCTCTTTGTTTTGATGAGGTTTGCATTTGCTCAATATATAGCTTTTCCTATCCTTTATTTTTGCAATCTTTCTGAATTGTTTTGTTTGAACTTTATCTCTTATATACTGCATAAATTTCTATGTTGCTTTATAATATGATGCTAATCTTTTAATATCCATTTATATTAATATGACATATTTGATCTTAGGTCTCATTTGATGCTTTTTGTTTCTGTAAGTTTTTCTACTATCTTATGCCATGTGGTTATTTTCTCTAGTTGGTATTTTTGCTCTAGTGGTGACTTTAAAACCATAGTTTTGATTTTCTTAATTCTTTAATTCTTTGGACAAGACCTGTTAATTCCCTAATATAAGTAATGGTGAAAATAGTGTATTTCCTCTGTTTTTCATCTTATTTTCTTCCTCCCCCTCCAACATCCAATTTTAGCTCATATTTTACTTTGATAGTGTTCACTTTACTCTTAAATGTACTTGATTTGTTAGTTTTAAGTGATATTTTTTGGCCTGCTGATAATAAAGATAAGGAAATGGGAATGCCTTCTTCACCTTTCATCTCTTTTCCTTCTCTTTCTAACTTTCGTTAGTGTTAACGTTGCTTCATTGTCCAGGCATATAACATTTACGCTCTGTTCTGTAGCCATACTCCCCACTTTTGAGTCCTTTGTATAGCTAAACAGGTTGTTAGGTGCTAATTGTTTTTCCAGTTTTCTCTTTGTTGGCTGAAGTGAGTATTTTAGTAAATTCTTTGGAGGAACAATATCCCTTGAGTTCTTGGTATTTTAAATTATTTTATTTGCCTGTTGTTTTTGTACTTGAACTACAGTTTGGCCAGATTTACAATTTCAGGGTGACATTTGCTTTTCTTGAGGTACTTTTAGACATTGCTTTTCTGTCTTCTGGTATAGAATATTGCTATGGAGAAATCTAAGGCCTGCCTGATTTTTTTCCACTTCTGATTGATGTGATCTTGTTCATTTTTCTCATTTCTATCTTCTATATCCATGGAAATATTTTTCAATTAAGGTTTCTTCATTGGTGGCCAGTTATATTCTTTGCTTTTCTTTTTTTTTTTTTTTTTGTTAGAGTCTCACTCTGTCGCCCAGGCTGGAGTGCAGTGTTGCAGTTTTGGCTCACTGCAACCTCTGCTCTGCCTCATGGGTTTAAGTGATTCTCCTGCCTCAGCTTCCTGAGTAGCTGGGATTACGGGCATGCGCCCGTCAAATTTTTGTGTTTTAGTAGGTGTGTTCCCAGCTAAATCTTTGTATTTTGGTAGAGATAGGGTTTCACCATGTTGGCCAGGCTGGTCTTGAACTCCTGACCTCAAGTGATCTGCCTGCCACAGCCTCCCAAAGTGCTGGGATTACAGGCATGAGCCACTGTACCAGTTGTTTTCTTAATTTTGTTCTACTGTGTTCCTTTCCTCCTTTTGAAAATACCTTCTTTATGAGTGTCATGTGGTGGTTCTTTTTTGACTATTCATCGTTGAAAAGTGTAAGTTTCAGGCCTAGCACAATGGCTCCTGCCTGTAATCCCAGCACTTTGGGAGAGGGGAGGATCAGCCAAGACGACAGGACCAGCCAAGACGACATAGGGAGACCCTGTCTCTACAAAAAATAGGTAAATAAATAAAACAGGTGCAATAGTACATGGTACATGCCTGTAGTCCTTGCTGCTCAGGAGACTGAGGCAGGAAAATAGCTTGTGCCCACGAGTTTGAGGCTCCATGATTCTACCACTACCCTCCAGCCTGGGCAACAGAGCAAGACTCCGTCTCAATAAACAAATAAATAAATAAATTCAAAAATAAAAGAAAAACTTGTTTCTTTTAGATCAGTCATTTGTAGATTCATGTCAGAGAGAGAGAGAACAACAGAGCGGGACACCAGAGCACTGTTCTAGACTAGCAGGATTTTTCTTCATATAAGCCAGAGTTTTGTCTACAAGTATACACAGGCTTCATTTTTTTAAGTCAACAGAAATAGGCACTGAGGTGGGTTTTGGTATGCAGTCTCTTCTCTGCTGCTGCCGTCTTAGGAACCTCCTGCTTCCTATGAATATGGCTTGTCTACGGAAACGCTTGACTAGCCTCTTCTCTGCCACCACAAGGATCCACGGAAGTTCTCTTTACTAGTCCTACACTCTGTTCTCATCATTGTAAATAGGAATTTAGGTTTTGTACTTCAGGTTGTGCCCTTACCTTTGAGAGTTGTACTTTCTTTGTAGGTTGTAGGTTCTTTGTGAGATACAGAGCACTGTCCACCTCTGACTGCTTTCTCCTGAACCCTGCCAGCCTCCATTTCCAATGTTTCTGGCAGTGTTTCCAGCTCTGCTGTGGTTTGAGGTTTCTATGTTCTAATTATGTATGTCAAAGACAGGCTTTGCACTTTGTTCCTTGTTCCTTTTTTAGAAGCTGATTCCAATAGGAGAAGGGGAAATGCCAACTTTATGCCTGCATCTTAAGAACTGGACTCAGGCAGGCTGTTAAAACATTCAACAATATGCGACTGGATGGAGCGTTTTATGGAGTGTTCAGTTTTGATTTCCGAAACATTTTTTCTTTGTGGACTTCAAAACCCTGAGGTCACCTTAATAGGAATATGCTGCCTTCTCTAAGTGAACTTTTACAATAACATTAGTTCCTATGATATGGAATATGATTTGTTTCTCTTCCTTCTAGAATGAGTTGGCAAAAGCTGTGTCCATTTTTTCTCAAATCGTGAATCCGGAAAGCATAGCCTGCGCTAATTTAAATGTAAGTGACTTCTTTGTGGTTTAAGGTAAGCCTTGAAATGTATTATAATAAATGTATTATAATAAAATTATGCTTAAATTTTTTGGCTGTATACAATGACTTGATCTGCCAAGGTTTTCATTCAAATCCACAGTCATTTATTGAGTTCCTCTATGTGAAAAATTACAGTTATCACCCTTGTGAGAAGAATCAACACAGCTGTTGCTTCCAGGAGTTTTTAAACAGGTAGGAGAGAGGTAGATATGCTCATATATAAGACATGGCTAGATGCTGAAGACATGAGGCGTGGCTAAGAAAGCTGTAGATGTAGGGACGAGGAGGGGATGGAGACAGATCCTCCAGGGTCTTTACCAAGCCTTGAGAGAAACCTATGTGCTAACTGCATATTATTGGTGGTATCTAACTCATGGCATTGTTGCAGTTAATCAGCTTATATACTTATGGTACACAAAATAGTGCCTGACATGTGGTAAACATTCAGTAAATGTTACCTATTGTCATTCTTATTATGTTGCCAGTATGCCATGGTCCTCTTCCCCATTAACTTACCTGGGCCACCCAGGACACTTATTTGGGACCTTGTGGTCTGGGTCAGCAAGTGGCTGCACGCGTATCACCAAGACATGCAAAACCTTAATCCCTAAAACTAAAAGCAAAGGAAAAAAAATTATCTCAGATTCGCCAGATTCATGCTAATAATAAAGTTTGAGGCTTATTACCACTTCCAGAGTTTGAGCAGTGAGTCATGAAACCTTCCTGGACCAATTATAAAAGACTATCTTGTCATTAAGGACACCATAGTCCCCATTCAGCCTGCCCATATTGAGACTCCTTGTATACTGCGTCTGCTTGTGTGTAGGGAGTTGCAAAAGAAAAAAACTTTCAGGCGCTTATAGTCTTCTGAAACAGTCAAAGGATTGAGATGAAGAAAACATTTTCAGAAGAATGGAAATGTGTAAGCATTAGCATGACACAACTAGGATAACAGGTCACAATCAATGGAGTATTCCAAGATGAGTAGATGAAGGGGGTCGGGGTGGCCAGCAGGAGCAATGTGAGGGACCCTTAGGGCAGGTACCTGCTGAGCAGTGCTCTGGAGGAAGACAGGACTGTGGGGTTGGAGGGAATGACGTGGAGGGTGTTATTTGTTGGGAGATTGGCTTTGGTGGAGCTTCTATTTAAAAGAATATGAACTGTGGCTGGGCGCGGTGGCTCACACCTGTAATCCCAGCACTTTAGGAGGCCGAGGCAGGTGGGTCACGAGATCAGGAGATCGAGATCATCCTGGCCAACATGGTGAAACCCCATCTCTACTAAAATATAAAAAATTAGCCGGACGTGGTGGCGTTTGCTTGTAGTCCCAGCTACTCAGAAGGCTGAGGCAGGGGAATTGCTTGAACCTGGAAGGTAGAGGTTGCAGTGAGTCAAAAACGCGCCTTTGCACTCCAGCCTGGCAACAGAGCAAGACTCTGTCTTGGAAAAAAAAAAAAAAAAAATGAACTATGAATTGTAACCACCTCTTACTAGCTCTGAGTCCTTAGGTTAATTTGCCCCTGGAAACCCCCCAATTTCCTTTGATCTGAAACAGTAATAGTAACTATCTTTTTGTTGTGGGGATTAAAATAAATAATGCATATAAAATAGTTAGCATAGTGCCTGGCAGGTAGTCAGTGTTCAATGAGTATTTGCTAATACTAATAGTATTTGTTTGACATGAGTTAAATTAAAAGGAATATTCATTTGTACCAAATCCTAGAACCTAGTGAACAGGAATTATGTATAACTCCAAACTTCTGAAAGAGTCATACTTAAAGATAATAATGCTTTTCAGTTCTGCCCGTAGTAGTTATCTTCAAATGTCATCCCACACCAGTGCCCAGGTGATTTTTCAGAGAATGACTAGATGAGCATTTATGGTAAATTTTGGAGAACAAGGTCAGGCAAGAAGTATGCCATAAGAATACCTCATATTGGACCTCAACTTTACTTTGCAAAATGCTTTTACATGAGAGAAAGGTGAGCCCAACGAACCAGAAAAATGGAGACAGTGATAACAGAGAACTTGAAAAAATGAAATGAATTTGGAATGGAAGAAACAAAATACTAGAAAAATATCGACAAAGAGACTTTTTAGTTTCAAAGGGCGTAAACCTGGAGGGCATGAACTCAACTAAATATACCTGATAATGGATTTGATATGAACTGATGAATGCCATAAGAAAGCAGGGAAGTATGAGGGCTCAGAAATGAGTTTATAAGGCATTAATGGTGAGGCAGGGGAAGCACCAGAAAAGAGAGGGAAGGACTCGCAGCTTTGTAGAAATTCAAGAGGCTGAGAGCCCTCCCTGTCTTAGCCTGCTGCAGGTAGCTGCTGTTCATCTTGGGGGCTGAAACAAACTACAGGTCAGAGCAGGTGGGTCAGCCTGAAAAGCTCATAGGCTAAAGCAGGTCTGGGAGGCCAAGGTTGGCAAGGGTCCAGAGTCCAGAAGGTTGGGTCATTTGAGCAAGTGATATCAGTAAGCTAAACAGACTGGGAAGCCTGGTCTTCCAGCAGGCACACTATGTCTTTGACTTCTCTGCTTCCTGCTGGATATGGACAGCTCTGGTATTCCAGTATATAACTGCTTCTGAGAGTGTGTCCTTTAGATGACCCATCTATCATGATGGGACAGAATATAACTGCTGGGATTAGCAAGATACTCTTTCACTAAAGCTAAAGCTATCCAAGTCTCTTATAACATCAGGTAGGAAAGAAAGGAGAACAGGGGGAAAAGTGTTTTACTTGGATCATTGGTCACTCTTCCTAGAGTTCAAGCAAAGTTGAGAGTTTCGGTACACATTGGTGATAAGCAATCAAACTGTGAGGTAAGCAGGGTTTTAATTTAATTTATCTAAGGTATCATGCTTGGTACTTTAGATTTGTTATACAACTTTATCAAAACAAGTTTTCTCCACATTATAGATTCAAGGGTAAGTAAATTACCTTAGTTCTCCCAACTAATTAAATAGCAGAGTCAGAGTTTTAACACCAACAACTCTGACTGTGAAGCCTAGGATTTCCCTACCACTCCAGACCTACAGAGATGAAAAAGGTGTGTCTCTTTTATCTGGGACTAGGATTAGTGTCTCCTCTTGAGTAATAAAAAGAACACAAGACTGGATGTCAGAAAACACAATCCCACTAGTGCATGTAATCCACCTCTGGATTTAGATTTCTCATCTCCTTCCATCCTGGCCTATCTCTCACAGTTATAAGAATCTAGTAATGGGCTGGGTGCGGTGGTTCATGCCTGTAACCTCAGCACTTTGGAAGGCTGAGGTGGGTGGATTATTTGAAGTCAGGAGTTCAAGACCAGCCTGGCCAACATCGTGAAACCCCATCTCTACTAAAAATACAAAAATTAGCTGAATGTGGTGCATGCCTGTAATCCTGGCCTACTTGGGAGGCTAAGGCAGGAGGATTGCTTGAACCTGGGAGGTCAAGGCTGCTGTGAGTGGAGATCACGCCATTGCACTCCAGCCTGGGCAACAGAACGAGACCCTGTCTCCAACAACAACCGAAAGAATCTAGTAATGATTTGATTTCTTTTTTTTTTTTCCGCCAAATGAGAAGCTGCTTTGGTGGAGTTAAACGTGAGCTTGCTGAGCATGAGATGGTCCATTCCCAATAGGAGGAGCAATGCAGGGCATGATGAAAAAAGCATGTGCTTGCCACCAGGCAGCAGGAACAGCTCCTTTCCTCTGAGGGCTGGAAAAGAAAGTCAGCCTATGGATGCAGTGGGATGGGCGTGTTTCAGGCAAGGACTCCGCAAGGAACCTCGAAGTGATACTGAGTATGAATCATCCTTTCTGAACTGCGTCACAGAACTACCCACTGTCGGGAAACTTAAAGATAGTTTCAGTGTTTAAAAATTCTCAGGAAATTCTTTCAAATGTTCAACCCAAATTTCTCATGTTGCAATATAAGCCTATGTCATCTTCCTCGGGGATGATGAAAAAGATATGGTTGCCATTCTCAAGTTTAGTAATCTTTTAGATTCTAGGTGTCTGTTAGTAGACCACAGTTTAAAAAATGACTGCATGGACCTTACCTTCTCCAAGGCTGACTCATCTGCTTGAAATCCTTAAAGGCAACTTGTTAATTATTGAGCGATGGAAACTGACAGATAGGCTGAGTAGAGTCTGTTTAGTCAGTATTCACAGAAATAAATGAAACTTTTTTTCTGATATGCTTTAAAAATTAATGCCTTATGCTAAAATCTTCTGCTGCTGTCAATTGAAATTTGAACTTACAAATTTTCTCCCTAACTTAATTGTTTTATTAAATTGTTCCTGTTACCAGTGTGACCCAAAGGGCCCAGTTTCCTATTTTCCCAGCTAATTCTTAATACATACTGCGTTGTTTTAACAGATCTCATCAAAACACATGTATGTTGACACTGCCTTTTCAGTCTGAATTTATCTCAAACATAGACCCTCTTTAGCAATGCTGCTTCACGTCAAAGAATTAATTTCCACTTCCGAATGTGTCTGAAAGTAGCAGAGACCCACACAGGGTAACTTTCCACTGATTGTATTTGAATTCTAATCGTTTGTCTATAAACCTGGCTTGTCTACAATTGGAGATCCACTTTGGAATTGAATTTACCTTGCAAGGGAATTGACAAGTGGTTTTGCTGCTTTTATCATTTATTTGTTAATACGGGTGAATGTCTTAATGCCCCTTTCTCCTACCCACTTAGGTCACCCTACAGTTCTAGCTTATGCTGGGAAGTCTAGGGTGCACAGGGAGGAAAGAAGACAGGACTCATTTCTCACAAATTCCTTCGTGGCAGCATCTTACTCATATGTGTGAGTTAAGAATTGCATTTGTTTGGGAGCATTGTAGTCTCCAAAAATAAAAATAAAAGCCTATACAAATTAGAGCCTTTATTTTTCTTCCATGTGGAAAACGAGTCTGGTCCGTCCATGCCTGGTGTGGCATTCCATGATGTCATCAGGAACCCAGCCTCTTTCTATGTTTCTATTCTACCATCTTTAACACGTGACTTCCATTCATTGCATCCCCGGTCCAGCAAGAAGTAGGAAAAAATGGGAGTGAACAAAGAAGTTCATCCCTTTTAAAGATGCTTTTTCAAATGTCTCATCCAGCAACTTGTACTGGTGGTGTTATTGGCCAGAACTTAATCCCATGACCACACCTAATTGCAAAGAATACTGAGAAATAGTCTTTGAGTTTCATACATACATGAAAGCATCTATTAAGGTTTGGGTGTTCTGTTATCAAAAAAGGAGGAGAGAATGGATATTGGTTAGAAAACTGGCAGCCTCTACCACATTATGATATTCTACTTCGAATATAGCAAACCTAAAACAAAAATAAAAGAAACAAGAAATGTAAATTTCTGCATCCTCAGGGCTTCTGTTCCCTTTTTTGTTCAAAGGTATCTAGTAACGTATTTCCTGATGCCTCAGAAAATCAAAGAGGCAGGAAGCACATGTTCTTTAAGTAGTTTTTCTTACCAAAATCTCCCCTGTTCCTTACTAACTGAGTTTCCCAGTCTTTTGTTTGAAATCTGTAAGATTAAGGCAATGTGCTGTACCCTACTTTCGTTTTCTTTAGCTGAACCCTGAGACTGGTTTGAGATAAGCCCCTAGCTTTAAACTTTCTCTTTGCCTTTTATCAGTAACTGCCTCATGTGCATTGCCCTTCATCAATGTATTTTAAGGTAGTGAGCCTTGTTTTTGAAGTCCCTACTGAATCAGAGAGAGTTGCTGGAGGGAGGAAGAGAAGTTGGGAAAACTTAGGAAGAAATATTGAAATCTCCCAGGGAGCACATCGTTTCTAGCAGAGGGCTCTAGATGGTTTATTTTTGTAAATTGCTGGGGGAGCCAAGCTCCTCTTCTTGTTTATTGTTATTGAGGGTTGGCCGGGTGCCTTGTACTACATAGCATTGCATTGAACAAGGTAGACTTGCCTTTGCCTTGGACACCACCGTCAACCAAATTGGGATTGGCTTTTACTAACAAAGGTATTAAGAACTGTGAAGAGTCACAGATTTTTTCCCACTTGGAATCTAATGAGTTAGCCTGCCCCAGTTTCATGGATGCTAGTGGAGTATACAAGACAAAGAGAAATAAAGGACAATTTATTATGTAGCAGTGGCCAGAATATTAGCATCTTTGCTTCAGTTACCTGAGCCCCAGTTCCTGCAGGGAGACATGAAAAGCTCTATGTGCCTCTTGCACACATAGCAAGTTGCTTTCAAGAGAGGAACCCTGAGCTTAGAAAACCCAACTCTCTTATGATGGCCAATAAGCATGCCTGTCCTTTGCTTTGAATGTGACCCTGTGTCTGTTGTCCACAAACATCCTTGAAAAGGTAGTCTGGAATAAAAGCAGTCAGTGCTTTTGCTCTCAAGGCATGCAGAAATTTGAGCGACCCATGGAGAGTTGTCTCCCAAAAAGGGTGTGCTCATGATTTTTCCTGGGCTTTAGAACACTGAATTTAAATTATGTTCTTTGTATTTAGTCTACCTGGGATCATTTCATTCTGTTCTTCAGAACCTAAGACAACCCCTTATCCTGATAAGTTACTAAACAAATACAAAATGTTACCAAATAGACTGGTGAGAAAACAGCTGGTTTAATATAAGAAAGGTAAATCTCTTCCAGGAAAACTATCTTTTGTAAGGATCAAGAGCCTTAAAAATATCTCTATGCTTTGACTTAGTAATTTCACTTCTGGGAATCAAGTCTAAGACATTACCAGTTTTTCAAAGTACATATGTACACATTGGTCAGTGTAATAAGGTATGGTATATTTCCATGATGAATTGCTATGTATGTGTTAAAAAGTGAGGTTTCTTTTTTCTAATATTAATGCTATGAGGAAATAAATGTCTATTGTATAGTAATTGACCAAAAGTAGAATCACATTTTGAGTTTGGAAGATTTATACATCAAATTATAAACAGTGGTTGTAACATCAGTTGGTGAATTCTCAGTTATTTGCACTTTCTTTAAACTTTTTCTTGAATTATACTAGTGAATATTGGTAATTAGGGAGGAAATGTGGTTTTTCTTGTGTTAGTTGAACCTGTCTGGTGGAAGATAGGTGATAGTGTCATTTTGAAAGCACACTACAGCACCCAGTTTTGAAAGTTCATTAATAGATAGTGTAAATAGGAGTGCCTCATTAACATTTCCGCCAGCTTCCACTCTATGCCTGCAGTAACCTGTGTGTCTGCAACTTCCTAACAACAGAAAATGCTGAAGGTACCATTTGCCCCTAGCCAGTTCTGGTTGTCCGTTTTCACACTGCTTTAAAGAAATGCCAGAGATTGGGTTATTTATAAAGGAAAGGGGTTTAATTGACTCACAGTATCACATGGCTGGGGAGGCCTCAGGAAATACGATCATGGGGGAAGGCGAAGGAGAAGCAAGTATCTTCTTCACAAGGCAGCAGGAAAGGGAGAGAGCAAGGGCAACTGCCACTTATAAAACCATCAGATCTCATGAGAACACACTCACTATCATGAGAACAGCATGGGAGAAACCATCCCCATGATCCAATCACCTCCCACCAGGTCCCTCCCCTGACACCTTGGGATTACCATTCAAGATGAAATTTGGGTGGGGACACAAAGCCAAACCATATCACTAGTCTTATGAGACTGTCTGATTGTCTCATCCTCTGAATCTAGAGGATGTAGAAAGGAGGAAACCAATATTTTTGTTCGCTGAGTATACTGGTATTTTATTTAATGTTCATAAAACCCAAAATGTGAGATCTAAATCTATTTTCCCCATTTTACAAATGAGGGCATTTAAATTGGAAGATTAAGTACCAGTCCAGAGTCACTTAGCTGGTACTTGCCAGTGTCTGGATTTCAGCCCAGGTATCCAGGCACCAAAGTCTCTGCTCTCTCCAGTGTTACCCTTAAACAAGTTTTGAAGTTGTAGGCTTTTTTTGTTTTTTTTTGTTTTTGTTTTTTGTTTTTTTTTTTTTGAGATGGAGTCTTGCTCTGTTGCCAGGCTTGATTACAGTGCCACAATCTCACTGCAACCTCTGCCTCCCAGGTTCAAATGATTCTCCTGCCTCAGCCTCCCAAGTAGCTGGGACTACAGGTGCGTGTCACCATGCCTGGCTAATTTTTGCATTTTTAGTAGAGATGGGGTTTCACCATGTTGGCCAGAATGGTCTCTGTCTCTTGACCTCGTGATCTGCCCGCCTTGGCTTCCCAAAGTGCTGGGATTACAGGCAAAGTTGTAGTATTTTGACTAACTATTGGAAAGCACACTTTGGCTCGTGAGCATACATTTAAAGCACTTTTTTGAACTTGTGCAAGCAAATAAGTTAGGAAGTAGGATCAAAGTAGGGTAGGTGCCTGTAAATGAAGGCTTATCTAACCAGGTGCATTTCTTAGCATTGAGACACTGACTAAGTCTTGGTTTTGTTTGTGTCTTCTTAATATTCAGGTTATAATCCATATCCAGTCAAATGCATTGGAAAACCTGATAGAGACTCTAACAAATGCTGCGGAAGGAAATTTATCAAAATTTGTGAAAAGACATATGTTCTCAGAGGAAGTGGTGAGTATGCAAGTGCTGCAGAAATCATTTGAAAGTGAAAGGACACTCTTAAAAATGTTCACTAATTTCTCCATTCTAAAGCTTACCTTAAAGAAATTGTCAAATATGGCAGCTTCTCTGTTGTTCCTGTTTTAAGACTTCCATGTATATGTGCAAAGATTTTTTTTTCTTCCAACAGAATATATCCTCTGAAATTCTAGGAAACTTTTTCCTTTTACCTTATTCTTTTCTCCACACTTTGTGTTCATGAGCCTTGGCTCTCTTTTCCTTCTAGAGGACAATTTTACACATTTTTCCTTTTCACTCAAGCCTCCAATACCTTCTCCTCACTTTTCACTCTCAGTTGATCACCTTATTTCTTGTTTCATGGAGAAAATAGAAGTAATCCAAAGACAATGACTGCTACATGGACAACCTCTGGCCCCTTACCCTATATACCCGTGATCCCATGACGACTGGATACGCCTCTCACACCAGCCTCTCCAGTTGTGCACTGGATCCCATCCCCTCTGACCCACTCCGCAGCATCAGTCCAGAGGTTGACTCACTCTTTTGGGCATCATCAGTATCCCCTTCCCTGTGACTCCTTCTTGTCAGCAAATAGTAGGATATACTATCTCTCATCTTAAAAAAGAAAAACAGTCTTCTATACAAATGAAAAGACAGACCATGTGTTTAGATAAGAAGACCTACCCTCATAAAAACTCAGTTTTTTCCAAGTTACTGTGATAATGTAGTATGACTGCAGTAAAAATATCACTCTGTTTTTTTTTTCTGTAAAGGTTAGTTGAACAAACAAGACTAGCTAGAAAAGCCCTGTGAAAGAGGGGCAGTAAGAGTTGCTAGGTCTAGCAGATCTCAAAACATGTTAAAGTTTCTACAATGCAAACTGTGGCTTAGAACATGAATAAGGCAGCTAATGGGACAGAATAGAAAGTGCAGACAGAGACCGAATTGCAGATACAAATTTAGTGTAACATAGAGGCAAGCATCTCAAATCAATCTAAATGGGTAGACTAGTAAGTAGTACTAGGATAAGTAGAGAGCCAATAGAAAAAGATACAGTTGTATATGTTCTTATACCACAAACCAGGATACATTCCAAATGGATGAGAATTTAAATTTTTAAATTGAAACACACAAGTAGTAGATATAAACATTAGTAGATTATTTAATGTCCTGGGAGTGGAAAAACTTAGCTTTCAGTCAAAATCCAAATCAGTAAAAGAAGTGATAAATTTGACTAAAAAATGTGAAAACCTGTTTTTTCGTGTGGCAAAAAGTCCACAAGCGAAGTCAAGAGGTACGTAACAAATTGGAAGAAAGTACAGTTTTTAATCATACTGACAAAAGGCTAACTAGCCCTAATATTTCAAGAGCTCTTTTTGAAGCCAGGTGTGGTGGCTCATTCCTGTAATCCCAGCACTTCGGGAGACTGAGACAGGCGTATCATGAGGACAGGAGATCGAGACCATCCTGGCCAAAATGTAACCCCATCTCTACTAAAATTATAAAAATTAGCTGGGCGTGGTGGTGCATACCTGTAGTCCCAGCTGCTTAGGAGGCTGAGGCAGGAGAACCGTTTGAACTAGGGACTCGAGATTGCGCCACTGTACTCCAGTCTGGGGACAGAATGAGATTCCATCTGGGAAAAAAAAAAAAGAGCTCTTTTTGAAAATTCTGAGAAAAGAACCAACAACCCTAAAGAAAAATGGGTAACAGATGTGGACAGAAGTTACTAAAAATGAATCGTGAATGGCCTTTAAACATTAGAAAAGATTCTCTTGACCATATCAAGAGAAATGCAAAATAAAACTACCCTATGATATTTCTCTTGAATAGAAATCTGCAAGCTTGCCAGCCTACTTGGTTGGTGAGGCTCTGAGGAAATGGGCACTTTCATCTGATGCTGCTAGAGGGAATACAGATTGGTACACTACAAATAATTTCACCCTTTGACTCAATCCTCCCACTTCTTGGAGTATATTCTAAAAATATATTGGCAAATATAAAGAAGTTGTATGTACAAGGTTATTTGTTGCAGGCCAATTTGTAAGAACTGCAGACTGGAAAAAAGCCCAAATTTCCATCAGTAAAGGACTAGTTGTACAAATTAGGGTCTGTTCGTACAAAGGACTGCCATGTAACTCACAGGAAATGAGGAACAGCTACATCATACACTGTTACGGATCACCATTTATATGGATCACTTAAATATGTTTTTAAGTGACAAAAGCAAGATGCAAATGGGTATGCGTGGTATGCCTTAAGAAGGTGGGACCATATAGTTATTTTTATACATTTACATTTTTGGAAAACACTACGGATGGAAAAAGCAAAACTTAAGTGGTTATGTTGATTTCTTTTTCAGATCTTTTTTTATAGAAATACTGCTGATTTTTGTATGTAAATTTTTTAACCTGCAGCTTTACTGACTTTATCAGTTCTAAAGGTTTTTTTGGTTGAGACTTTAGGAACCACAGTTAATTATTATGCACATTTCAGAAATGCCAAAGGAGTAGATTTTTAATGTTTCACTGCAGAAAAAGACACATTGGTAGGTGATGAATAGCTTTATTAGCTTGACTGAATCTTTCTATGGTGTACACATAGATTGAAACATCACATTGAACTTTATAAATTTACACAATTATTTGAGAAAATAATTGACAAATTATTTTTTTAATTTACTTAAAAAAATTAAGAAATAAAAGTTTTGAAAGTGAAAGTGAGGGATTGAAGCATGACTTTTCCAAATGTACCTTGTTTGTATATTTAACTTAGGAACTATTTAAATGTTTGCAGAACTATAAAGCAGAGTTAAATAAAAACGAAGAGAAAAAGCAATTCCTAAAAATGGAAAGTGAAATGAAACAAATGAACCCATGTGTCACATTGATGGCTTAAGTACACAAATTGGAATTCTTGTAGGTCATTTGAAATATAGTAATTTGTATGTCTCTCATAGCATGTAACAAGGTGAAAGAAGTGTAAAAAAATTGTACATTATTGACAGTGATCATGTTGTTAGTGATAATACTGATATTGTCATTTTGACCAACCAGGCGACCTGTTGGTTGGTCCTCCCTTCCTCCCTCATTTCTCCTGCCTCTCCCTTTTATAGTTTGGTCCGGGCTGCAGCAGGATTGGCACTAGAGGGCAGTGGCTGCTTCCTCCTCCTGCTCAGTGTTGCCTTCCCAGCCCTGTTCCATTTCCTCACTTCCACCCAAAGGCTTCTTCCTGCTGATAAAAGGGAGCTTGTCAGGAAAATGACTGACTGGATATGGTTGATTTAAAGCTTCTTTCTATTTGCGGTCTTAGCTCTGTGTAGGCTGTGACCCACCCAACCCTTTTGGAGTAAGTTTAGCAAAGTAGGGAAAGTAGAAGCATGAACAGATTTTAAAGTGCATAGTTGTGTGTATGCGTACATGTCAAATGCAACTTCCGTTTTCTCAGCAGCATTGATGTTAACAATCATTCCTTAGACCTGATCCATCAATACATTGTCACCCATTTGTATGGCTAAAGCACCCAAACAAACTTCATATTGAAAAAATACTCATATAAGACTCTTTTACTTAGAAAATGAACCTCCAGTTCAGTGTCTTCCCTCTGGTTACTGTGGGACCACTCAAGGAACTGCTTGATGAGAAATGGATTGATTCATGTAATTCCAGTAGCTTTGGAGCTAGTTCTAAATATATATGTGTGAGATTGCAAGTGGAGTCTTATATTGTAAAAGTCTGCATTTTACAAATGGTGGATTTAATGTTTATGCCAACAGTTATTTAAAATGTGTCATGTAGGGAGATAAGACTATAAAGTATCATAGGTGCTATTATACCACCACAGGACTATTGAAAAGAATTGCTGATTTATTTCTGTAGTTATGTAACAGAACTGTTACAGTTTTTAGATCAAAATTACCTCCAGCTTGGCATGTTTGCTCTGCTGCTTTTAGAAGCCATATGCTGCACGTTAAGTCATTTTCACCTTGAACATGAGGACTAAACAAGCTATTCTTTTTTAAGAACATTAAGAAGTGCTTAAGCTGCTTGTCTGCAGGTATAGTTGGGAACCCTTGTCACAAAGGAAGATGTGCAGTTGCAAATAGTGTTATATATTTGGAAGAGGGCCAAAGGATTTGTTAGGAAGCTTCATCCCAATTCAATTCCATCAAGAAATGTGTTGAGATTCTACCCTTGATAAGGATTGAACTAAGTAAAATACTGATTTTATTCAGAAAGTAGCTTCACATTCTCCATTCCAGTTCACCCATTTTTGGGGTTAAATACCACCATATACTTGTGACTCTACTATGTATGCCTCTAGCCTAGACCTCTCCTTCATGTCCCAGACTTGTATATCCAACAACCTTCTAGACATACCCATTTAGGTGTTTCACAGCCATCTCAATCAGGTCCAAACAGAGCTCTTGATTTTCCCTTCCAAATCTCGTCCTCCCTGTCTTCTCTATCAGGAAATGGTAGCACCCATCATCCAGCTACTGAAGCCCCAGTTGAGAAGATAGCTTTGACTCCTCCCTTTCCTTCACCTATTCAAAAATTAGTCCTTTCAGTGTAAACTCCAAAATATACCTCACATATGTGTACTTCTCCATCTTTTCTGTACCTTTCCCAATCTAAACTACCATCCTTTCTTATATGGGCTGTGGTGTGGGCCTCCAGAATAGTCTCCACATTTCTGTACACTCCAGTTCATTCTCTATGTAACTTTTTAAACATAAATGAGATCATATCCCACTTTAGATGCTCTGATGGCTTTTTTAGAATAAATTTCAAAAAACTTACTGTGAAATGTATATAAAGCCCTATATAATTTGGCCTGCCTCCTCCTGCTCTAATCATTACATGGAACAAAGTTGATTCCACTGGTGTATGACCTCCTTTACTTGGTGTGTTTCATTATATATGATGTGTTATTTGAACCCCCCTTGTATATTAGGTATGATTTTCAAGTACTAATTTTGGACTTTCTGTGTAGCTTTTGGAATCCCTCATAGTAATACTTCTGTGTGCCCCACTACCCTGGTTTTCACCATTTTAGGTGTATACATACCATAATTTTTTTTTAAAGACTCACTCTGTCACCCAGGCTGGAGTACAGTGGCATGACCACAGCTCACTGCAGCCTCTGCCTCCTGGGCTTAAGTGATCCTCCCACTACAGCAACTAATTTTTAAAATTTTTTTTTGTACAAAGTCTCACTGTGTTGCCTAGGCTGGCCTAGAAATCCTGTGCTCAAGTGATCCTCCTGTCTCAGCCTCCAAAATTGCTGGGATTAAGGCATGAGCCACCGCATCTGGCCTACCATACATTTTTGTTCATTTCCATTTCTTTTTCTAAGAGTTATAGTAAGAACAAGGAAGAAATCTTGCAGAGATGTAATGTTCTTGCTTTTTTCCAGCTGGCCAAAGTGAGGGAAAAAGTGAAGGATGTGCCTGCCCTTGTGGCCAAATTTGATGAGATCTATGGGAAACTACACGTCAGTGGCCAGGTCACCAATTATTCTTTGGATGCTGTGCTCTGCTACACCCCCAGGGACAAGAAATCCCACACATTGCTGTTAAACAAGAGGATGGTCAGCCGTCGCACCTTCCGGCCACTCAGCCAGTCCCTGTTGGCTGAGTAACACTGGTTTCAGTCCACCTATGGATCTGAGGGGCCTGCTTCTAGTGAGTTATTGCCTTTCCTAAGAAGTCAGGCATCGCACTTCAGCAGACACTGTACTGACACTTGGTCTCCTCCTGAAATTCCCAGATTCACTGAATGGTACCATGCCAACCTGTGAGAAGTTATGTTGCATCACTGTGAAGGTCTAGATGCAAGCTTGGCTCCCTCAGAAAGGCACTTCCCTTTTGCACTGCTGAGGATCCTTGAAGGAACATGGTCAGTCTCCAGTTCAGCTTCTGGCACCAGAGTGGAACCCAGTAAGCACCATCAGGAATGAATTTCACTACAACTGTGGACAACTCTGATTTCCAAGGGAGTAGTTACTTGCAAATTACATCCTTGCTGAATTCAGGAGGTCTAAAACCCTACTCTACCATGTTAGAAAACAGCCCAGGATTTTCTCATTGCTCTGCCATCATATATATCTATGACTAGAGCCCTCATTTTTCCATCTGCAAAACAATAATGCCTATGTGTATTTGCATATAGATTTGAAATCTTCATTCAAGGTTCGGTAGAATCAGATTTTCTCAAAAATAAGATAAATAAGGTTCATAAGCAAACTTGATGGGATTGTGGTTGTTTTGTTCTCTCAGCAGCACAAACAAAACCAGAATTTAGCCTTTAGGACTGCTGAATAAGCCAAATTTAAATGATTACTGCTTTGATCATGGGTAAGCCATGTGCTTTTCAAAATAAGTGCCACTAAAAGCCACATAATGCTTAGGTTTCTATGTGGATAATATTTAGTCCTATAGTTTATCTTATTTGTTAATGATTTTTCTCTCTTGAATGCCTCATATTAAAAAAAAAAAATGTGCCATGAGAGCAGTTCAAACCTGCTTCATACTTATGATGGTCTGAAATATAGTATGTGTTGAATTTTACCGTATCTGTTCACCAGTGAGCAGAAGATACACAGTGACCCCACCTCACTTGCTCCTTTTGTTTCAGAAAGCCCAGAGGGTTGCTCAGACCTCGGGAGCTGTCTGCCAAGAGTGCTGCAGACTCTTCATTGCTACCTCCAAAACTAAGACTGTTCACTTGGTGGTTGTTCTGAGGCAAGGATTATAGAGTCAGAAACTGTAGACTAGGAGGAGTCTCCTAATTAATTCCTTCATCTTTCAGGTGAAGGAAATGATCCATGCAAGAGATCCCTAATCTCACCTGTACACTGTGTCCCAGTGAGAGAATCACAGCGTCAGGTGTTTGCTGAATCCAGGTCTGAGATCACAATCCCACCTGAGGACAGGATCCACATATGAGAGTCACAAATTGGCATAATTGATTTGTGGTAGAGCTGAGATTAGAATCCAGATTCCTAGTCTAGTACCTTCCCACTGTACCACATTATGTCTGCAGAGGGGAAAAAGGAGCAGCTCTTAAGAAATAGAATACTAAGGGCCCCCGTGACTGTGTGGCCCTGGGCATCCTCAGTTTCCTCATTTGGTAAATGGGGATAATAGTACCTACCTCTTAGGCTTGGTGTGAGGATGAAATGAGATAGGGAATATAAAGCAAGCAGATAGTGGCTGGCACATAGTACATGCAATATGTTTGAAACTAGTTAAGGAATTATAAAAACAAATGAGTTCTTCCTTCTCAAAAATACTGAATTTCTTTTCCTTGTACTCTGTGAAACACTGGACAGCCCCATTTAGAGAAACAAATTCTCTGCCCTCATAGAATCCTAATTGTTTCTGTATGTGTCTGGTGTTTTGCACACACGCCAAAAAAAAAAGTGCTTGGATTTCCCCACCTTCAGTCTCAGTTGCTTCCTGTCCCCGCAACTTACTCTTCATCTTCAACTCTCACAGTTCAAATGGCTCCAGTGCTGTGGGTGAGTGTGGCCCTGGTTGTTAGCTAACAACCATTCATTAGCAAAATAACCAAATTTTGTGAGCAGTAAATAGCAACAAGCTTCCCAGTCCCTGCTGCTCAGGTGGCTGGTGCTCAGCTGACTGGAAAAACTGGTCCATTCCACCTGTCCCAGAAACCTTAGTGCAGAGGTAACTAATATGCATAATGTTCACCCCAAAGTAATAGATAATTCTAAAGTCTAAAAAATTCCAATAAAAAAGTGTTCAATATAGGTTATGATGGGCATTTCATTCTTTAAAACTCAGTAATTCCTTTGAAAAAATGGTGTTTCTTTGTAAGCAGTAGTTTGCCTACATCATTTACTTATTCTGTTTTTTTCTGCTTTGGGGTTGTTTTGGTTTTTTTTTTTTTT